TGTGCCCACAGGCACGTGATGGCAGCTGCCTCCCTGCCACCTCCAGCATTGCCCCACGCTGTTCAACTGAACAATGCCTTCACATGCTGAACTAATTTTCTTTCAACTCCATGCACTGAGAGACTTGTGTTTCTTCCTGCTCTTCCTTCCCTAAACATCTGTCATTATTTAACTGGATGGCTTAAACTCTTTATGCCCAGTTTATTAGTCTCTCTGAAAATGACCTCCAGCTTGGTGTGGAAATACGCTCAGTGGTGGAAGCACCTGCTCCTCTTGTGATGGTTTTCATTACTAGGGTAGAGAGGACAAGAAACTTTCCAGCAGCATTTTGGGGACTGGGAGCTGATGACTGTGCCTTTTTCCTGAAAGGAGGAGCAGCCCCATCTAGCACGCTCCAGCACTGTCTCTGTTTCATCCAATCTCTGGGCAAAGACGCATTCAATGCAGATGCAGCAGCAGATGCCATGGGCACTGCTCCTTCCTTGGCCACATCAGTGGAAGTTCTGTCCATCTATCTCCTCCCTGTCAGAGGCTGGGAGGCAGTGGTGGGCTCCCATTGCATGGTGCTGTGCCAGCAGGGCTGGGCTCCTCACCTCATCAAGTTGTGCAGTGCTTATAGATGTGAAGGCAAGAGAATGGGCTTGGAGCAGGGAGCCTGTCTGGGGTGTGCTGTCACAGTAAGGAGGAAAACATCACAGTGAGGAGATGTCTCACAACTGCTTAATGTCACATCTTCACAGATTAATTAATAACTGCTCTTTATTTTTTTATTTTTATTTTTATTTTTATTTTTATTTTTATTTATTTTTTTTTTTTTTTGCATAATTCTACCTTGCTTTGTGAACTACTGCTAGGTTTGGCTAAACTAGTTGTTTCAAGATCCCGTCTTGCCCAAATCTCACATTTCATACCATGGATGCTGTCATTGACACTTACCAGGAACACTGGATATGTCACAACAACTGGTGTGGCAAATGATGCTGGCCACAATGCTCATGGAAAAGCTTGGTCTTGATCTTTGCTGTGAGTTTCTTGTTGGATGCTAAAGGGGTCCTTGTTTCTTCTGGTTTCAGGTGGTAGCACAAGCAGACTTTGAACTGCAGCTGCTTTAAGGCCCATATACCACTCAAATCTGCCTGCAGATCTGCTGTGAATGTTTAAAACGCACCACGGTTTCCTACAGCATCTTGCATGCCATCTGTTTTCCAAATCACTCTCCTCAGCTGCACAGTTTAATTACTTGGAAAAGTACAAGAGGGGGGGTGTGCGGAGATGTATGTAAAGGAAGCTGTTTGTGAAAGCTCTGCATCAGATTCTCCCGTTCATTGTGGGGGTACTTGAAGGTGCAGTGGCACTTCAGAAGCAAGGGGGATCTGATCACACAAACAAAACCCTCTGATTCCCCATTTCCACGGTGGAAATTTGCAGAGAGCAGAGTTCCACCACACTGAAGTCTCATACATGGGTCATAACACAGCATGAGCCCAAAGCCAGCTGTCCAGATCTGCTCCCTCCTCTCTCCGTTCTCTCTTCCTTGAGGATAGTTCCACCCATCCGCCATACTTGAACCTGTGAGAAAGTCAGTGCTAGATTCCTCATTTTCCAAATCCATCACCCCTGTTCCTCACAGATGCTGTGGGTGAGCCAGGGCTGAGCAGCCAGGCACTACCATGTGGGCTGTGGGAACCGGGGAAGGTCTGAAGAGCCAGAAGGACGATGTGTGACAGCCCAAACAGGCCATGGGCCCTGGCTGATCAACCACAGCACACTTGACAGCAGCTCTTCTTTTTTTGCTTTTCTTCCCCTCTATTTTTGCCACTGACATTCTGGGCAATTTAATACAAGATGCCTGCCTGGGAACTCCGAGGGGAGGGAGGGTGCTGTGGGAGCTGCATGTTCACCAGGACGTTGACAGAAAATTTGTCACAATCCAACCGGATCTAATTGGCATGATGTGTAAGAAACAGGCTCCTCAGATATTTTTAGTGCTCCTCAACCTTTCTGGCGCGGATCTGTAGGGCATTAATTAATTCCAGTTGTCTGCCAGTTCAGTTTCTCCAAGCTGGACTCGCAAATAATTTGGCTCCAGGTGTCTTTTAGATCCAGTGATAAGATAACAAGATGCTGGCATTTATTATGCTTGGTGTCTCGAGCACATCTTTACTGATCTGTTGGATACTTTGGACATTATCTGAGTCTTTATTACCTTTTCAAGTACCCATCTTTTCTCCTAGTGGTTTCATTACTGCAGTTTCAGTCAGTGACAAGCAAGAGAAGTGCCCCCAATTAACACATGCACCTCTCTGTTATCTCTTTGTTATTTGCATCACATTTTTCTCCCCAGCCATGCTGTGTGCAGCATTCAGATCTTCACTTTACTGTCCACATCTGATTATTTTTATTCTTTTTACAGTGTAGCTCAGTTCACACAACATCTATTCTGATGGCTTTACTATCTGTCATCTGGTCTGTGACTTCCCAGGAAGTGTGGCCTTTCTTATCCATAATGCCAAGGGTCTCCCCTTTAATTTCAGGTTTCTTTATACTCTGTAGGACAGAAAACAGAACGGAAGGGCCTTCCTTCAGTGTGGGCTGCACTGGAGCCTCACATCTGCTCTAGGCTAAAACCAGACCTTTGTCCCATGTGCCCAACAGGAGCAGGAGAGTGGGATTATAGTGTCAACATTCCCAGCACTCTGCTTCTCTGACAATCAGTGGAGCTGTAAATCTCTTTCTCACCAGCTGTGAATTCAGAGCTTCTTTCTGAAATGCTGAGTGGCTTCTGCAAAGCAGTGAGCGGCTGAAGGCTCTGAGACAGCCCCAGGCCACCTCCATTCAGCAGGGCAGTGTAGCTCAACTCCTCCTCCATCCCCAAGCACAGACAGGATGCAGGGTTTGCAGTCGGTTCATTTAATCTTATGGATGCACACACAGGCACTGCAGACACCTGCTAAGATATGTTTAGTCAATCCAAGCACGTTTCTTGTCTTTCATGACTCCTGCCCACTTTTGGATATTTGGGATGGGCAATCCTAGGGAAGCCTGGGATGATCACTCTGGACAGACATCTCTGCTCTAGATATGCCTGTGTGTGATCAGATGTGACACTCCTGCTGTTTGCTGTCTCCACAGCCAGTGAGATCCTACGGGAAGTTCTGCAGCCCTCAGGTGCTGATGGTGACTGCCCTCGTGGGTTGGAGAAGATGGAGGGGACAAGGTTAGGCCACAGCACAGGCAAAGCCCCTCAAGTGTGTGAGCAGCTTCACGCTATCTGGGTGCCTGGCTCCCACTCCCAGGGGACAAAGCTGACAGAAATGCTACAGCTCTACTGGAAGCAGAGACAAGGACTCAATGAAAGCATGTTGCTCTCCATGCGAAAGAGGGACCTCATCTAAGCCAAATTTGTGCTCTTGATAGCCCTGCGAAGACTTTTTATGGAGGCATTCTATTAGCGACTTCATTGGCTTTTTGTCCTCGCCAGGTTTGCATCCGTGCGGGAAATCACACTTGGTGGGCATTGCTCAGCAAAGCATGCCTTGTTCTGAGGCCTGGTGCAAACCAGAGGAGACAGGCACATGGAAAAAAGCAGCTGTGAGAGCTGGGCCATGCTTCAGTGCTGCTGGCAGACAGACACATCCCTCCCGGAAGGCTCACCCAGCTCACTCTGTCTGAGTGCACCCCATTTTTTGAGAGAGCACTGCCTCTCCTTGAGCCATGGGTCAGCATGTGGGCTCCTTGTCCCGAGAGGTCTCAAATTGCAGGACATGACTTTGAGGTTGTGGCCTTGGTGCTGTGGGAAGAGGAGCAAAACACAACAAAGGGAAGCTGCTGCAGGGCTCCACTCAAACACCAAAGACAAGCAAGGACACAGTGTGGAACTTGGCAGGGATTTTGGCACAAGCATGGAGAAGGCCATGTACAGAAAGGCCTGTCCTCGCCAGCACAGCACTGGTCAACGAGGTGCCCAGCTTTTGGCTGCTGCTCGGGGCTGTGGCTGTCACCCGTTGGCAGCACTCCCCCTGCCCTCAGCTGCTGTGTGTGTGCCCAAACACCCCCAGCTGGGTCCCGGCCTGCCCCACTCGCTCCTGACCCTGATGTGGATAAAAAGCTGATTGTGGCAGTATTATTTCAACAGGATCCATCTATGGTCTTCTAGGTAAACCAGAGGTGCTGGAGACCCTCTGTATTGCAGTTCCCTGCTGCACTTTGTAAAACAACCTGTATTTATTCTTGTCTGCAATGCTGGCCATGTTTCTCCTGTGTGGGGATACAAACTATACATGATTCCGCTCTCCTGCACCCACGCTGGCTTCAGGACCCAAAATGCCTAAGAGGTGAGCTTCTATGTCACAAAGAGAACATCTAACTCCCTCTTGCTTTCAGTGCACAGCTCTCAGTACAAAATAAAGCCTAATACATCATTCCTCCTTTTAAATAAACAGATTTATCTTGTCCTGAACACTTCTTATGACAAATAAGGACTAACTGAGACACACAGAGCAGGCAATAAGTATGCCGCTGCCCAGCACCCTGAACCCACAGGAATGCTAATGGGTTTCAAGCACTGTGGCAAGGGAGAAAGAAATAAATGCATTTGTTATAAAGCGTGGTTCAGATCCTCAGGTGGTAGACGGTGATGTAGCTCCAGTGCAGCCTTAATTGGTACAACGGCTTTGTGAGGTGATGTCTCTCAAATAACAGGCACTCAAGTTTCTGAGATGCACTGTTGGTTCAAATGCACATTGTATAATCCAGACCATATTTGTTTGGGGGTAAGGGCAAAGAACTGAGGATGCAAAGAACTGTATCTTTCTGCATAGGCACTCATCCAGCCAGAGGGCAACAGCAGAACCCCTTTTTCCCAATAGGCTGAGGATTCTGATGAAGTTAATGTTCTCTGAAGACCATCTCACTTGAAATCAAACTCACTTATGACCTTTTCTGAGCAGCAGGACAAGAAGATCCATAATGCAGAGGCAGTCACACAGAAGACGAGGATGTGATTTTTTAAATGAATGTTTTATTCATGAACTACTTATAAAAATGTGTAAAATACACTCAAATATATTTGATTTGTTGACTGAAGCTAAAAATATAAAAATATAATTAACAAATGCATAAATTAAATTGACAAGAGTAGCACAATTCTGTGTTCACCCAGTGTTTGTTAGGAACACAAACAGAAGCAATTATATAGCATATGAGAATGGAATATGTGCTGAAGACATTTTTCAGTCACTTTACTCCAGGCACTGGCAAACAATTTATGGCTAACCATATTAAAAACCATGTTCTTTTTTTCTCTGTGAGCCCTGCTAGAGGGCAATATATATTTAGCTACTTGATGTTACTCACAGTATTTCTTTAGCTTTCAAATAAAACAAAACCCAACAAAGTCATGCATTTCAATCTACCAGCATCATGTGCCCGAATTCCACAGCATTTGCTAAATGTAGGCAGCCCCAAGTCCCCAGTATTTCCTACCAGTCTTAAAAAACACCTCATTCTGAACCAGCTGTTGATCTGTGAGGTCATTGCCAGCGGACCCCTTAGCATTGGCCATCCCAACAGGTGGGGAGTTTGTCAGCTTGGGAGTTAGTCAAGGGCACAGGGTGTAGCGGGAGCTGCCCATGTGCTGCAGTGAGCTCTCACCTTTCATTCAAGGCACAACCCCTCGGGGCTGTGGGTCCCACAGCTCACAGAGCCCAAACATCTGTGACAGGGCCATGAGGGGAGTGACTGCTGTTTTAGGCTGTGTCTCTGAATGTCAGATGCGTTTCTCCGCTCTGTGACCCTGGGAAGAGATGCTAATGCAGTGATTAGGTGGTTGCTGTTCTCATTCCTTTAGTCCACATATTAACTCCCAGGCTGAGGAGCACGGCTGTGTGCTGATGTACTCCTATCTGCTCAATATTTAACTTTCTGCTTTCTAAGTCAAAGCACGGATAGCCGTATACAATACACAATATAAACGTAAAGCTCACACATTCTTTTTTCCGTTCTACAACTGAAATGAAATTCATAGCATATCACGGCATAAAATAATATTTCTGGCAATTTCAGGCATGTATATAAGCTGTATAAATAACTATAGCAGCAGAGAAAAACGTATAAAGTTGCACTTTTATGACATCTTCACAGTATGCCTTTCTCTCACTCACTTTTGTGTTCCATTAGTAACAAAAAATATCATTTATCAACTCCAGCTATGCAAAATCTACTTCTTTACTATGATCGGTAGTGGATCTTGTAATTTTATTGCACAGATTAAAAACATTTATTATATTTTTTTTCATTATTAAATAACTTTCAATACAAAAAATTTGAATCAAACTGAAAGCCCAACCCTACAAGTGCTTCAGAAGTTGCATGTTACTTTTCAGACTCGCATTCCAGTTGACTTTCATCAAAGAAGTACTCAGGTAGCTTTGTGGACAATGAGGAGATTCACAGGACTGGGCTCCGAGTGTGCAAATCTTAGCTTATGGATCAGCAATAACACTAGCCTTGCTTTATAACATTATTATCGGGAAACATCAGTAAAGGAGTTCTGAACATCATTCAGATGTTCAAAACAGAAACATCCTCTTCATCAGAGGATGTCTTTTTCCTTAAGAGCTGTCTTTGTGCAGTACAAAGGCTCCTTCAAGTCCGCTCTTGTTACATTAACAATTTCCCTTTGGTTCTGCTATTTAGCTTACAGGCACAGTAAATATCATTAATTACATGGATAAGTAGTTGTCTCATATTAAAAAATGCTACATATATACTTTTAACTTATTCTCAGTTGTTTAACACTGGTTTCATATGACCAGAATTGGCCAGAAAGCAGAACCAGAGCCATAAGGTGTATGCACATCTCTTGCATGAGATGTAAAGCTGTTCAAGAGCATTGTGCCAGAGTATGTAAGGTAATCTGCCCTCTTACTAAGGGATAAGGAGGAAGAGGCTTGTGAACTGTGTCAATTATTTGCTGAGAGAAAAGACAAAAAGAACGGTTTGCTGTGACATCATCATTTTGGGTGCAGAATTGCAAACTGTAGGTGCTGCTAACTGAGCAGAGAAACATTAAAATGAAGAGCAGAACAATGCACGCCCTTCTGAAACAATTAACAGTATACAAACACAATAGCATGCAATCAGACTTCTGCCATCCAATCATGTATTATTGAGCCACTTCCATTTCCCTCAGCATAAAAAAATGACACAGTAATATACAGTGAGATAATTTATAGAGTGTATTTGGTATGTCCTGCCAGTGTAATTGCACTGCTGGTGAGTAACACGATCGCCTTTCCTCAGCTACTGCTGCAAAAAGAGAGTACTGATGCAGTGCACGTCACACAAAAGCAATTTTCATGATGCCCTAAGTTCAGCTGTTATTAGTAGAGCCAGCAATCAGTCTAAAGCTGCCATGTTTTTGACCTTGCTTGCTAACATGAAGTCTACATAGCAAAAGAAACAGAGAAGGCCTGCAGTAAATCTGCCCCATTCTTTGTGCTTTTGCCTACACTTCTCTCTATGAAAGGGGCTTCCACTGTGATGTTGTTTCCTTCTTCAGATCCCACTGTGGGCAGTGAACCTTGAGGTTCGTGCGAGGGCCGAGAGGGATGCACAAGAGGAATGAGCCATGTTCTAGGACAGAGCTACCTAAGAGGTTGAATGAGCCTGCAGGTTCTGAGCTTCTGCAGCACCTGAGGGCGTTTGGTCAAGAAAGGATGAGACTCCAGCTGCAGTAAGAAGGAAGAGGCACTGTCAGGCTGGGTCCTTCTCTGCAGGAAGACCAGAGTGACATGGAAATGCACAATCTTGCTGGTTCTGTTTTGGAATGATTTAAGAAAACTCTGTCAGAGAAACCCTGCAGATTCCTTCACCCACTGTCACACAGGTGTTCCTACTGCAGGGAGTGTATGGCTCCAATAAGTCATGGCAAAGTCACAGCAGTCTTGTCGAAGAGCCACTGCAGTTTCTAACTCAGGCACTTAGCTTAGATGTATTGGTGGCTCTCTGGAGGCCCTCAGGAATACTGATTTCTCTGCAAAACAGAAGTGGAATCTAAGCACTTGTCTCCAGCAGCAGGCTACGTTTTTTTTCCAGGTAATGAATGGGTAGATAGATGAAAGGAGAACTAACAAGCACTTCCTTCTTGCGAAGAACCACTGTGTGTTGCCTCTTTTCTATTTAACTGAAGAGGTTTTATAAAGACAAAGAACAGCTGAACAGTGTTCAGATCAGTTCCTTGAAGAAGAAGCCTCTTTCACAGAGGAAAGAAGACGTTCCTAAACTGCCAGGCTGGGCAGGACACCTGGTGGGTGCTCCTGGATTACACTCCTAGCTAATCACAGGATGCTCTGAGTGCATCTGATGATTAGCACAGTGAGCTAATTATCCTGTGAGACTGCATTCCCAGGGTTACAAATGAGCCTTTTTCTATTCCACCTGCCTGTGTAGTAGTGACATGAGCTAACATCAAAGCAGAGGAGTCCTGTGTGGACATGCTTTCCGTCTGTAAAAGCAAACAGCCCTTGAAGGAGACCTGCACTCAGGCTCAGGCAGCTACGCTGCAAGCACCTTTAGGCTGAAGCCAATTGTGTAAAGTGTGGTATATATATCTTTGTAGGTCTTTATCTCAGTAAGTTTGCAATCTCTCTCATTTTTAAGCAGTCACACTGTTTTAATGAATTTGAGAGCCTTTCACATCCTTACATATCTCTTAAGATAAGTGTAAAAAGAATTTTCTTGAACAGCTTTCTTGTTATAATTGTACACAAGTACAAATGCACAGACACATGCTGTGCTCTGATTCTGCTCTCTGAAACCAGGGTGAAGAAACCAGAGAGTGACCTTCTCCCCTCCAAGGATGTGTGTGGGGCAAGTCAGCGAGACTTCACGGCAGCATGTGTTGTTTGATATTTTTTTACTATGTCACATTAGACTGAAACAGTTGCTTCTAGTGAGGTGGACCCTATGTTACATGGCTGTTATCAAGTTCTGTAAAAGATATGTCATAGTGGTATGAGTGGTGTGGATTTCACCCATTTCACAAGCAGTGAGATTAAAGTGTAGAGTAGCTTTGTAATTCTTATACAGGACTACTGTTCTCTTTCTTAATAGTAGCTTATTTCACCTTACAAATACTGAACTAATTAAAAGAAATTAATGAGGCTCTTCTCGTAGGATTTTTCTGTGTGTTAAATGTCAATACATAACCTGCCCCAAACGCAGCAGCCCTGTTAACAAATGCAATTTAAAATAGTTTATGTAGAACAGTTTACAAAAACTGTGATAAGAAAAAATAGTATTATCTGAAGCTTAATATTAATATAAACATTATAGAAAAAAATACATATTTACATAATGCCAAAATACAATTATATACATTAATATCTATTACACTTAAATTATATAATATCTTTTAAAAAAACACCAGACCAATAAATAATACACAGTCTCAATAGAAAGGTCTGGTACCTTTCTAGTGCACGAAATACAAATATAAAACAAACAAACAAACAAACCCCTACTTAACACATGTGGTCAAAAAAGCAGGTGTCTGTAACATTCTTAGTGCCTTGAATAAACAGCATCTGAAAGCAAGAAATACTGTGATTAGAAAAAAAAAAAAAAGAACACAGGTAGCTTCATGTTCATCTCTGCCTGTTCACTACAGTTCTCTGTAAGGTGGCTGTGGAGCAGGCTGGTGGCTGATGTAACTACTCAGGAGCTGACCTCACCTTTACTTCTGCTAGCATTTCCCAGCTTGTTGAAAACTCCCGTTACTTCAGTCTTTAGCTTCTGCCAAGCCTGGTCTGCCTGCTGATAACTGATTTCTATTAATGATCTTGACAAGGGATTGAGTGCACCCTCAGTAAGTTTGCAGATGACACCAAGTTGGGAGGGAGTGTTGATCTGCCTGAGGGGAAAAGGGCACTACAGAGGGACCTGGATAGACTGGATCGATGGGCCAAGGCAAACCGTATGAGTTTCAATAGGGCCAAGTGTCGGGTCCTGCACTTTAGTCACAACAACCCCAGGCAACCCTACAGGCTTGGAGGGAAGTGTCTGGAAAGCTGCCTGATGGAAAGGGACCATGGTGTACTGATGGACAGTTGGCTGAACATGAGCCAGCAGTGTGCCCAAGTGGCCAAGAAGGCCAATGGCATCCTGGCTTGTATCAGGAACAAGTGGTGAGCAGGACTAGGGAAGTCATCCTGCCCCGTTCTCAGCACTGGTGAGGCCTCACCTTGAGTACTGTGTTCAGTTTTGGGCACCTCAGTACAGAAAGGACATTGAGGTGCTGGAGCAGGCCCAAAGAAGGGCAACAAGACTTATGAAGGGCTTGGAGAATATGGCCTATGAGGAGAGACTGAAGGAACTGGGGCTGTTCAGCCTGTGGAAAAGGAGGCTGAGGGGAGACTTTATTCCCTCTTCCAGTATCTGAAAGGTGTTTACAGCAAGAGTGGGGTTGGTCTCTTTTCACTGGTGACAGGATGAGGGGAAATGGCCTCAAGGTGTGCCAGAGTAAGTTTAGGTTGGATATCAGGAAACACTTCTTTACAAAAAGGGTGGTTAAGCACTGGAATTGGCTCCCCAGGGAGGTGGTTGAGTCGCCATTCCTGGATGTATATAAAAACAGTTTGGATGTGGTGCTCAGGGACATGATTTAGCGGAGGGTTGTTAGTTAGGGTAGTATGGTTAGGTCGTGGTTGGACTTGATGATCTTTAAGGTCTTTTCCAACCTGAGTGATTCTTTGATTCTACAGACTAGATTAAAAAAAAACTGTTTTGATTCCTCATCCTATAACCTTAATTTTTACTGTCCAGCTTCAAAGAGCTACCTACTGTGATCCTGCAGTCTCACCCTGAAAGCTTCTAAAAAGCTGCTAGGGATGAGCTCTACATAGAGACAAAGGCCACCTCTGTTCACATCTCCTGACTGGTCCTCTATCCATGAGAACAGGAGATGAAGGACTGTGCTAGTGCCAGGTCTGCTACTGCTGCCCCAGTAGGCCAAGGCAGGGATAGGAGGCACTGATGCGATGACTCCAGGAAGATGACTTCCCAACAGTAGCTCTGCTCTGTCCCCAGCCTCTCCTTAGCAATAACAATCACTTGAACTTTTCAGCACACCTCAAGTTTAGGTCAGCAGGACCATAATGTCCTGAAAGATCCACCTCTTACTAGGAATATCCAACAACCTGATGTTTAGGACACTCTTCTGGAACACAACAGACTCCTGTTCACTATTGGCTATAATGGGAATCATGGTTGTATCTGTATGATGGGAACATTTCAGGAACATTTATCAACATGGGAACAGGATACATGATCTGCTGTCTTCAGTACATGCCAGGGTCTGTAGTAATAATCGTTTCCCTAAGGCCACAAAAGAAATCTAATCTTGCAGTGTTACTCAGAGCTGTTGCGCACTCCAACTGGTTGTTGAGGACCATGGTGCCTCAAGATGTAGCTAAGATGTGATCACAGCTGCTTCCTCTGTTTTCCACTGGGAAGTAAGACTGAGTTTCTCGAGACTATTTTCTCAAACTTAACAGGGAGCTCAGACACCCAAATGGCTTAAGGGTTTTCAGGCAGTGAGGTATATGTGGGTTATACAACATTCAAGTGCTTTTGTGGGTGTAGCTCTAAATTCTTATTTCCAAGGAACTGGATATAGGCTAGGAAAAAGGAGCTGAAAGAAAGGATGGAGAGTTGTTGGAGTAGAAGAAAGCACAGCCTTGGATACCTACATAATCCATTAAGACAAGCAGAAGTTTCTTCAGAACACCTATAAAGTCAACAGAAAATGGGGAAAATACAGAACAGAAGCTGAACGCCAAGGATGACAGAGGAGACCAGGAATTCCAAGCAGTCTCAGTATGCTGAAAAACAAGGTATAACAGGAAGCCAGCATCAGGACAGGGAAAGGATTCAGTTCATCCAACAGCATAGGAATCATAAAGTGCAAAACTCTCTCTGTCTCTCCCCTATGCATGAGGGCAAGTAAGAGCAGCAAGAGAAGTTATAAATACTTCACAGAATCATTTAAGTTGGAAAAGACCTTCCAGATCACCACGTCCAACCATCACTACTAATGAAGGAGTCAGAGTTGCAGAAACATGGTTGTTAAGCCCCTTATGAGGCTGATGGTTGAGAGTAACAAGAAAACACAAGTGAAGAAATGAATGTCCAAGAAGAGAACAAATATCAGTGATGAGGGATTGAGAAATCTGCCCCCTGGATTACACTGTCAATGATCTATTAAATTTGAAATATCCCATAATTTGATAATTTTCCACTTACCTCTGTGATACTCAGGATTCACATTTTCATATATTGGAAACAAAGGATTTTCTTGTTCACTGCGAAGTTTTCTGGCTCTTAACACATCTCTCACACATTGATGCAGATACACATATTGACACTGCAAAATATACACATACATTTTTAAGTCACCCTGGGAAAAGTAATTACAGGCTGACTCCCTCAGGCAGAATCAAGAGCAGTGTTATAAATGAAAATATACTTCTAGAATTCACCTCTTTTTTATTGTGGTAATACAGTAGACTTTTGTGATAATCTGTTTTTAAAAACAGTATCATTAAAACATAATTAAACATAAACACGTTTTGATTGATTATATCATGACTGAAAGCTTCATCAACTGCAAGGCATAGTTTGACATAATGCTGTGTTGGATAGCTGCTACTCTGAATGCTTTGTATAATTTATGTGCAACTACTAATACGTAAAGGGAAGCATGTGGAAGAAACAAACAGCTTCCTGGATTCTTTTTTTCTCTGAAAAGAAATATTTTCTACAGATGTTATTAAAGTATAAAAATATTTCAGAACTTTGATGAATGCCTCTTTTTTTTGAATCCCATATATGTTATAAAGTTGCTTCTGAATACACAATGAATGACGATCATCTTTCTGCAGAATGCCTTTCACTAGAAGGGAGCTGAGATGACATTCACAACCAATGCAGAGATGGTCACCATGATGTTACTGACTATCAAACTACCATTATGAAACAGATTGTTAAATCCCCATGTGTTGTCACTATTTCTCGCTTATAAAATGAGTCATTATCGTTTTCTGATTAGTGTAGAATGGTATCCAAAAATTAGGCAAAGCATCTTGATATATCACAGAATCACAGAATGGAAGTTGGAAGGGACCTTCAAGATCATCTGGCTCCAACCCCCAGCTATAGGCAGGTGTCATGGTTTTATGGTTTTTTTTTTGTTTTCAGTATTCTGCATCAAAACATCATGTAGTGCACTGGGTATTAAAGTGTTAATGCCCCAATCCCAGGTACCTATCCCTGTACATTACAGAAGTCACAGGATCTGGTCCTTCAGGGTGGGGCGCTCTCTTGCTGCCTGGCAGTAGGTGCTGGAGGCTGCTTTCCTAGCCGTTCCAAGCTCTTCAGGTTTGACTTGGTCTCAGGAACTCTCTCTCTCCTAACTTATTTGATTTATTAGTCTCAATTTCAATCCGATTGTATTATATTGTGTTATCTTGCATTCCGGTATCATAGTAAAATAAGTTTTCCTCCATAGATTGTTGCCGCTGTTTTTTCTCCCTCCCTTTCCATTTTTGTGGGGCCGGGGTTGGGGGGGGGGGGAGGGCAGGGGCGTACTGCCCCCCTTGTCATGGGCAGAGATTGATCTAGTCAACTCCATGACAGCAGGAACATCTCCCTTTAGAACAGGTTGCTCACAGCCCCATCCAGCCTGGCCTTGAATACTTCCAGGGAGGGGCATCCACAGCCTCACTGGGCAACTGTCCCAGTGTCTCACCACTCTCACTGTGAAGAATTTCTTCCCAATATCTAGCCTAAATCTAGTCTCTTTCAGCTTTTTCATTTCCTCTCGTCCTGTTGCTATCTGCCCTTCTTGCTCCACCTCAAAGACATGATTTCTCAATAAGCATGCATTTCCTCTCCCCAGATCTTCAATCTATTTTCCATAAGAAATTTAGCTATCTTTCTGTGCATTTTTCTCAGTTCTTTGGCTCTTGGAAAGTGAGCATGCCTCCAATCTGCCCTGCTGACTATGGGGAAATGGATTCACCTCTGAGGATGCCAAGCTCAGACTGAGAAGTTGTCTCCCTTCAAAGTGTTCTGTCATTAAGACAGTTCCAGGAAATCTCTCCTTTACATTCCCAGTGGTGCCCATATGCTTTTGTGACTTCTGTATCTATCAAGAAGCTCAGCCACTGATATTCTTCTTTCCAGATTGCAAGAAAGAGCTCCATTAGTACCAAGCTACAGGCAGACCCATCAAACACATTCCGATTGCTCTATTAACAGTTCAGAAAAAATCTAAAGACTGCTTTCACAGCTCTCCTTCATTAAATCAGCTTTTAAGTGGTTAGCTGCTATTAATGTAAAGTGATTTTCTTGCATTTTTAAAAGCACAGAAAGAAATCCCAAACACTTTTTCTGCACTTGTAGAATATATGTACTTCCAGCACAGTATGTTAGAGTCTGATCAATTTTTCCAACACCATTAATGAAAATGGACAGAGCAGCTCAATAAAAAACACACTTTAAAGCCACAAGGTCACAGTGCCAGGAGTTTTAAAATTATATACACCTAATTTTTCCATTCTCCATTCCTTTTCCCCATTACATCTACCTATGTTCACCTTCTCACTCCACACCCAAAGGAGTTCTCTCTGTTCAGAGCTCATTTGCTGGACACTGTAATAACAGAACAGCATGCTGTGAGGTGTCTGCTGCATCACGCTGATGGGGTGATACTGGTACAGTGCCAAGGGACTATAGGAAGCATTGCCACCACTTGTTGGGGCTTGCACCTGCTGTATGAGCCAATGGAAATAAACCTGAACTAGAGATTCTTAATGTATCTAACAAGTATTTCATAATGGAATAACTGTGAGGTGCTTTAAGATGAGAGATTATTAAACAATGCAGCTGGTGTTGGTGTACTGTAGGCTATCCAAAACTTACCTCTGTTTGAACCATGTGAACCCGGTGAAGCCTTAGATCGTGCACTGCTGCATAAATGTCAACAGTGTCCTTTGAATCCAGTTGCTGCAGAATTCGGTCCAGTGCAATGAATGTGCCAGTCCTGCCAACTCCAGCACTGAAAAAGAAAGCAACCCAAAAGGTTTAAATGGAGATGGATCAACACATGCAATACTTTTGTACAGTTAGATTTCCAGAATGAGAACTTCCTGGTCAACTGGCATCTCTGGGACTTTAAAGATCATCTAGTTCTACCTTCCCTGCTTTGGGCAGTGACGCCTTCCACAAGACTGGGCTGCCCTAAGCTCCACCCAACCTAGCCTTGAATGCTTCCAGCATTCACAACTTCTCTGGATAACCTGTTTTAGTGTGTCACCATTCTCATAGTGAAGAAATAAGAGGATGAGAGGAAGAGAGGAAAGGAAGGATCTGTCAGTTGGTCTCAACATCCGTATGTATCCAGACTCATCCTTGGGTATACTTCCTGTTCGGAACATGTTCTTGTGATCCAGATGTGCTGGGTCACAACCAGCAGCACACAGACAATTTAAGAATGCATAAAGCATAAGAGCAATTGCAGCTGCTGAAATTTCGAAGTACACTCCAGTGGATCCCAAAAGACACAGTAGTTTCTGGGGCTTCTCCAGGGTAAGACTGTGAATGATTTTATATGCCTTGTGAACGCTGCTCAGAGGTACGTGGGAATCTACGTCCATTGATCATCTCTCAGGTTGTGTGACTGAATACTTGGGATCTTCCCAACGGTATGCAGAAAAGCTCTGTGCTGCTGACTTTTTGCTGCTGCACATACCTGCAGTGCACAACAGTTGGTCCCGTTTCTGGGGTCCTGTTGATATAATCCCTTACAGTTCTGACAAACTGGATCAGGGACTGGGTGGTCTCTGGCACTCCGTGATCTGGCCACACGGTGTAATGGAAATGACGAATGAGCTTTGTTGAGTCAAGCTGCTCCTCCTGTTGAGGTACAAAGGTGTGGGTCATCAGAACAGCCAAGAGATGAGGACACACACATACACAGCCTCCATGCAATTTCAGAATGCCACAGCTACTACCAGAGATGAACTGGACATTATGCACCTGTGCTACAGCAGAAGAAACCTTCCTCACTTAGCCTTGCAGGTTTTTTTTAAGTCAAATAATAATATAAAAAGAAAAAAAAGATGAATGGAAACATACACTGCAGATTTTAAACTCTCGTATTGTCCATTCTGGAAGCACCGATTCAGACAGCATTTCAACTATCAGATCTCCATAGTACAAGGAATCCTGGTCAAGGGGCCAGTAGTGATCACACTTCACCTGCAGGGACATGGAAAAAGATTGATTCATTGTCAATAACAGCTGGAAACAAAGCTTTAATACAGCACTGGCAGGAGCAGATTTCAGACCTCCTGTGCCTAAAGGATGAAGGAAGAACTACAGAATCAAAGAATCATCTAGGTTGGAAAAACCTTGAAAATCATCAAGTCCAACCATCAACCTGACCTACTAAGTCCCTTAATGCCATGTGCACATGTCTCTTAATTACCTCCAGGGATGGAGACTCCATCACTTCCCTGGCAGCCCATTCCAGTACTTGACCATCCTCTCTATGAAGAAACTTTTAATAATGCTCAATCTAAACCTTCCCTGACACAATTTGAGACCATTTTTCATATCCAATCGCTTGTCACCTAGAAAGGAGACTGGCAGCATCCTCACTGCAGCCACGCTTCAGGTGGCTGTAGACAGCAGTGAGGTCTCCCTTCAGCATCCAGACTCCAATTCCCTCAGCAGCTCCTCATTAGACTTGTTTTTTAAACCCTTCACCAGCTTCATTGTTCTTCTCTGCACATGCTCAAGCAATTCAATGTTGCTCTTGTACTGAGGAGCCCAAACCTGAACACAGTACTTGAAATAAGGTCTCACCAGTGTTGTGTATAAGGAAACAATCTCTTCCTAGTCCTGCTGGCCACACAATTTCTGATGCAGACCAGGATGCCATTGGCCACCTTGGCCATTTGGGCACACTGCTGGCTCATGTTCAGCAGGCTGTTGAGCAGCATCCCCAGCACTCTTTCTGAGCAACTTTCTAGCTGTTCTCTCCCAAGCCTATACTGCAGCGCAGGGTTGCTATGTCACAAGCTCAAGACCCAGCACTTAGCTATTATGGCTGTTGAATGCCATACGATTGGATTTGGTCCTTTGACCCAGCCTATCTATATCCCTCTGCAAAGCCTTCCTACCCCCAAGCAGATCAACAGTGCTGCATAACCTGGACTTGTTCATAAACTTACTAAGGATGCACTTGATTCCCTCAATCCAGATCACAGATAAAAAATGTTAAACAAAAACAGCCCCAGTTCTGAGCCCTGGGAATGACTTTATTAATCAGGTCTCTAAATGGGTCAAAGTCTGCCATCTGGAAATCTGAAGCAGTACTTCTTCTAACTGCATTCCTTACTTCACAAAAGATCAAAAACTCTATCACTTCACAATCCCTGTGCCCAAGGCATCCTCCAACAACCACATAATCCACAAGCCCTTTCCTGTATGCGAACAGCAGGTCAAGTGGGGTACTTTGTCCAGCTAGTTCCCTCACCACCTGTGTCAGGAGGTTATCCTCCACACACTCCAGGAATCTCATAGACTGCTTCATCTTTGCTGTACTGTATACATATGGGAAATGGAAGATCTCCATGAGTATAAGAAAGAAAAGCAGTACTAACAGCAATTGAAATAAGAGACCAATGTCCCCTCCTGCACTGTCAGATCAATAGACAGGCACTGGGATGGGAAAGAACATGGATGAGGCTAAAAGAGAGAGTTCTCATCACCAATGTTTGTGATGGGGGAACAGGAAGTGCTTCACTGATGTCTTTTTCTGAATGCCACAACCTTTTCTGTGACATCTCTTCCCAGAGCTCTGCACAGATGAGAACCAGGCTTCCAGCACATGCTTCTCTGCCTCCTTCTGAGATGTGACAGTGGGATCCCACTGTGAGCCAGTAAGGTGCAGTAACAGACAGCTTGCTGCCTGGCCTGCGTCTGTTTTCTCCATTAAGGAAAAACAACAAGCAAAAAGAAAATATTGCTATATATCCACTGGAAGAACACCATTTCGAGCTGATTTAACCTTTTAACAGATCTAGTCTGTGTCTTACAGAGAAGGAGCAGGACATGGTCACACTTGCAGAGCTGGATTGCTCAGACAGCTAAATATTGTCTACCTATGCTTGCACTCAATCAAGCCGTTAGGTGTGTGAGTGGTCTCTTTGCTTACAACATCAGGGCTTATCAAAGAGATGCCACATATTTTTTTGCAGGTGGTTGTCCTTAAGGGAATCACATTAGTACTAGTGAACAAAGTGCTGGATTAGAGACCAGAAGCACTGATGCTGCATGATCTTGGGATGGTCACTGCATCCTAACTTTACAGACTTTAAATTCGCCTCCTGTCTTTAGATTACAGCTTTCATCTCTTACTGTGTATACTTTGAGTGGGGCTTTTGGCATCAGCGTGATGCAAATAATAAGCATAAACATTGAATAAATATTAAAACATTGATAATGACATTATAAAATAAAATTAAAAAAAAACAACAATAATTAAGTCGATATTGATAAAGAAAAGTCACTGCTCACCCGGCCCTTCTCAACACACTGGGTTACCATGACAATATTGTGCACATTTTGTTCCCATGCCATCTTCCAGAACTCATCTTTAGTGCCAGGCAAAGGACCCTGAGTTGCTATGTATTCCCTGCGGAAATTATTGCCCTGCAAGAAAAGAAAACTTCATTAGTTTCCATAAAGGCAGAAAAAAAGATCTTCTAGCAACTGAACAAGCCACAGAGTTACAGTCTGCAGCAATGATGCCCTTGCTGGGACAACAGCTTTGAGAGCTGAGTTACTGCCTTAGACCTCAAAGCAGAAGGCTGGTGGGCGCAGAGAGAAAGGAAGAGACTGCAGAAGTGTATATAAATACTATTCCTTTTGTAACAGTCAAAGTTTTGCATTGCTATATTGTGTCCAGCACAGTATCAAGCAATTTTGGAACGAGTAGGAGTTTCTGTTTCAGTTCTGATGCTTTTAATATATTAGCTGACTTCTAGCTTGAAATTTATATTGTTAAAACTACTGCTATCATCAATCAACTCTCTAGTAAATGACATTATTGTAATCTTGGCCAGTTTCACCATCAGACAAGGTGCCAGCGCTGTCAGGATGAGCTGCAGCTTCACACTGAGGATGCCACCTGCAGTGATAGCTACAGTTGTTGTGGACAGTGTATAAAAATCAGTGACCTTTGAAAATGTGTCCTTGGCCAATTAGACCTGCTATCTTACATAACTATAGGAATCTAAGAAAGTGTCCTTGAGTGCTAGCTGAACCACTCAAAGCTAACTTAATGGCAGCCAGACAGAGCCTTTTAGCACACCTACAAAATAAGTTCTCAGACTTCCAGCTAAGATGAATAAATGAAGGGGGAAGGGAGGCCTTAAGCCTCCAGCTGCATATTCAGTTTTAGATGAAGGGCAAATAACCACTAAGGAAGGACTGTAAAATAACATCTCTGAGTCACTTACTGGTATATAGCTTGCATTAATGTAGTCTGAGCAAGGGTCATCATCCACATTGGAAAGCTTCACTCTTGATGTATCATCTAGGAAGAACGCGATTACAAGATGCTTACAGCTGGGTCTTGATTTTCAGTCCCTCTCCCATTTAAAGAAGTGCATTTGTGAAAGGACTGGTGAGATTATTACTGGGATTTTATATAGATGGCTAATTTAGAGGAATAACTGTTTATATTTGTACTGCCTCTTTCATCTAGGAGGGCTCTGAATTATTTCAGAGTACAAGGAGGACAAGTGAGAAGCAGGCAATGAATATTCAAAAATTCCTCTGCTAACTAGCACGGGATTTGTTAGGGCAATGAAAAAGCCACAAAAGCATCCTTCTTTTACCTGACTGCAGTGTGCTGCTTTGGAGAAAAGTGCCCAGGGAGAAAAGTGCCCAAGGGCACTGTCCTTGAAAGAGCAGTAGTGCTAGAGCAGCCTGCACGGCTTCCAGAATAACCCCATGTTAGCAGGCCAAGTGTCTCCCCTGCAAGCAGTGGCATCTCAACTGCTAGACAAGTACAGAGTGCTTAACCCACTGGCTGCCAATTTGTGAGATGATGCCATGCTGTATCACAGCCAGGTGTTGCTTCTTGTACAACCCAGGCCATGTGCAGAAGTAAGAATACGGGTGAATGGCCATGTGATAAGGAAGCTACAGTCAGTAGGAATATGGCATGGCTTTGAGCAGGGGGTCTGGATCAGAGGTGCAGCCCTCAGCCCAGTATGGCAGTCAGAACACATGAGATGCTGTGAGGCTGTGCACTAAGGGCACAACATGCCCAGCAGCCAAGCACTATGCTCCTCCTCCTTGCACAGAATCTGTTACCTCCAAAACTGCTGGACAGGAGATTAAAGGGGGCAATTTTCAGTAACAGGTCCTGCCCCAAAAGAACACAACTAACCTCACGTATGTGTCCCACAATCCAGAACCACACTAGCTCTAGACTGTGCAGCAGGTTTGCTGACCTCTGAAGAAGAAACAGAGTCAACGTGGCTGTTAGCACTGAAGGGATGATACCCTCTACGTATAGAACTTCAGTGTTATTTCTTCTATCCTTGTTATTAGCAGAGACTGAATGCTTGTAAAAGCTTGAGCTTTTTCTCTCCAGACTGAGCACTAGTCACTACACCTCTAGTGCAAAACAGAATTACTGGTGTGTGAAGCCATTTGGGGCCAAACATCATATGCCTCCAAGCACCCAGACCTAAGGTGGCAGAGGTATTTCAACTCTGACAGAAATGAGAGAAAGAATTGGCTGCGCTCTCTTTTTTACTAGGCTCACTGGAAAAAGTGACAAGTAGTTGGTGTGATGTAATATTACACAACCAAAACTAAAACTCACAAGGCAATATATTATTATATCGATTTTTTCCTCTGTTCTCTGGCAGCAGTGCTATGTCACATGTCTGGTTTCGACCCACGTCTTTTAAGTCCTGCAAAAAATTAGAAATACAATGTCAGCTGAAAATAATTAAAGGATGTGATAACACAGGGGGGCAAGGTACTTATCAGCTCCTGGAGGCCATGGATAGGGAAAGACTGGTGGTTTTTTTTTGTTGTTTGTTTTTTTAAAAACAAAATTAAATAGCTAATCATAGTGGCATAAGGCAAGCACATGGCTGACAGGTGTTTTCCATGATTTGTCACATAGATGTGGCACACAGATGAATGCTCCTGACCTCAGGCATGTAGTATCAGGTAGAACTGCCAACCAGAAGATGCTGTGCCAAACGAAGAGCTGGTATTACAAGTGGAGTTCAGGTGAAACACTCAAAATTATTTTGGTTTGCGTGAGACAAACAAAAATATGATTCAACCAGCTCATGCCCTCATAAAGTAAGGTCCTTTGTCTAGATTTGGTTCCCACCTCATATTCCTTGGACAGGAGGTAGTTGGAGTCTGCTTGGAGTTTGGCGAAGTGTGCTTCAAAATGACTGATTTTGATCGGACTGAAATATTCAACAGGAGGAAGAAAATCAGATGATGAATCACAGTCATAATTTATTCAGTTATCTTTTTTTAAGCTTTTTTAACTGTGGTTGTTTTTTTTGGTTTTTTTTTTTTTTTTACCTGGAAGTTTTCCGGTTCCTAGAAATAATATTAAAAGAAAAAGAAACATTTTATTAGTGACACAATTGGGCCACTCATCCATGAAGCCATGTTAAAATACTGCTCTCAGAAACAAAACTGATGACGTTACCCTTTTTGCCCCAAGTTCAGATGGACTGCCAGTGGTTTGTCCCTGCGAATGCTCAGCCTTGCTGTAGGTCTCTCGTGGCCATTGCTGGAACAAGAAATAAGATATTTTCATTTCTGTTTTACCATTACAGTGCGTTACTGCTAAGAACTGCCGACAGTAGTGAGTGAACAGGCTATGGGGTAAGCCTAGGTTGGATATCAGGAAAAACTTATTTACTGAAAGGGATGTTAAGCACTGGAATAGACTCCCCAGGGAGGTGGTTGAGTCGCCATCCCTGGATGTGTTTAAAAACCGTTTGGATGTGGTGCTCAGGGACATGATTTAGCAGAGGGCTGTTAGTTAGGGTAGGATGGTTGGGTTGTGGTTGGACTCAATGATCTTTAAGGTCTTTTCCAATCTGAGTGATTCTATGATTCTAAGACTTGGTTCCTCATCTGAAATGGTCTCAGTACAGCGTATCATTAAGGAGGGCATCCTATTTCCTACCAGCAATGTTGTATCAGTCATGCAAAATAGTTTCAACAGATAAAGCATTTTTCAAAGTTGCGGCAGTATTTTGCTTTTTAAAAATGTATTCAAAATTCACTATTTAAAATTAATCTGATCTGAAACATACAACTATAATCAACAGAAAACTGAGAAGTTTGAATTAATGGCATGGACACTGAGGTAGTGTCACACTAAGATTTTTGAACTGAAATAACAAAGTCTAAACAAACAGTTCCAAGAACTTCCCATATGTAATGGTTATGAAAATAATTTGAAACATTTCATTTTTTACAAAAGATACTGAGTTTGTATGATAAGCCATTTTTTTCAGAAAAATTCAGACTCCTAACGAAAAGAGATTGCAGAGATCCTTCATGAGACGATTCTTACAAATATCAGTAGATATTTGAAACTCCTATCAAGAAGATATTCACTGCTTGATATTTAAGTTATTCATTCTATAGTTACAGAATGGCCAGGGTTGGAAGGGACCTCAAGGATCATGAATCCATGATCCTCCAACTCCCCTGCCACAAGCAGGGCCACCAACCTCCCCATTTAATATTAGATGGGAAATACTGGTGTGTATAGATACTATTTCTTTAACACTCCAGTGCATTTCTTATATTAAAATAGCTTGACCTGATCTCATAACAGAGGCTGATAAAAGGACTCTACTTACCTAACTTTCTGTCTGCAGACAAATAAAGCAGTAACAGCCACCAACATTACAATTAGAAACAAACCAGCGCTCACACCTTCAATAACTCCAAAGAGGGGCTCTAAAAACAAAACAGTGTATTTATACATATACATTTTGAAGAAAATACATTAAGAATCACCAAAGCCCAGAGAATATGTTACCATTAGCTAGAGGAAATGGTTAAATTAAAGGAATCAAAAGTGTCTAAACAACTGAATTAAGCCTTGGTTTTCTGTCCTAATTTTTTCTAAATGTTATGCAAAACTTTTCATTCCCAACCACAGTAAAAGAAAGCACAGCATCATCATATAGGAATTTGGTTATCTTGTACTTTGAAGCTTTCTTGGCGACAACATCACTGAGAATTCACCCTTTCCTCTGCTGTCAGCAGCTTCACCAAGCAGGCCTTTTAATTTTCAAATTCATGGCTTATCCATGGCAAATAATGGCCATGAATAAGCCACAGCTTCTACCTTATTTCAAAGTAGACTTTAGGACACTGCATGACAAAAACAAGTGGCTTTGTTCCACTCCTTCCAAACAGATCTGGATACCAGAGTGTTTTGAGCTGCAATATGTAATCACTTGCTACAATGACTGAAAAGCAAGCCTGAAACTAACCTGCCTCTGTAGTGATTGGTAAAGAGAAGAAGGTGTCTGCAAAGAGTGGCTGAGGAAGTTCCTTTGGGTCTTCACTGAAGAGCTGGGTAAAAGCCCGTATGCTGATCCTAAAAAAAACCCAGTACAGTTTACAGTTACTAGTTAAGTTTATCAGATGTTCAGAGCCCACTATGGAAAAACAGAAGATTAAGATAAGAAATGACTTGTCTTTTAGAAATAACTAAAAACTTTCCATTGACCACAGGCTGCTCTTAAAACAGGTGCCTTAGATAAGTACCACAGCTGGGTGATGTAAATCCCAACCCAGCTATCACAGATGGAAGAACCCAAAGTCAAGAATGGGGCTCCTGCTGCTGGCACACACAGCCTGACAGCATCTGGAGACAGGGTCACAGGAGCTGCAGTGGTAAGAGGATTCAGAAACACTTCTGAGAGTGGAGAGATGCTTTCCCTTCGCGTAGGTAGGCTGTGTTAATGGAAAAATGGTAAAATGAAAAAGAACAATCCTCTTTGTTCTCCTGGTAATGTTAGTATTTCCCAAACTGAATTTTAGGGAAATGTGCCTTAATGAGAACAGAGAGGTAGGGGATCCCAGCAATGTGTTAATGACAGCGCACATCATGCCTCTCAGCTTCTTCACAATCTGGCATGTGCCTTCTGTTCATGTCACTGTCTGGTAAGCATCTTGCAGATCTCTTGGCAGGGTGTTTGCCTGCAAGAAGGGTGTGACTGAGCTGCACTGGAGCTCACATTTGGTTTCACAGCCTGTTCAACTCCTAAGCCTGGTCTTGGCAGTAGTGCTCTTCTATATCCTTCAGCAAACCCAGTCAGCTCTGAACTGTGCCACGGATTAGAACAACCTGCACAATTTTCTACCTTGTCCCAAAGGACTTGTGTGAGTACATAGTGCCAAATCAACTCAGTGCAGCTTCTTGCCTTCTCTTGTTATGTAATCTTCTGACTTAGATGACTTTGTGTTTCTAAAGAGATATTTACTAACTGTAGGAAAGGTCTCAACCAAAAAAAATAAACAAACATACTCTGCGTTAATTAATGGTATCCCATGCTAATGAAAGTACGGTTTATATCTATGGAATGGGGCATGGATACAGCTTTTATAAATTATGATGTGAAACACAAGGAACATTATACAACCCAGTTATTAATCTTCAGAAGCTCAAGTGTATCAGGCACTCAGCACTATGCCTAATAATGTGACAGAGCACAATTACCAAGATAAATCTCACCTATAAGCAGTCCGAGGCTTCAGGGGTCCATCGCAGAATTTTTGCTGATCCGGATCACACTTTCCTCCCAGATTTTCCATTTCTCCTCCAAGCTTAATGTCAAAGCTTTTATAATCACTGTCAGGGTTTTCAGCACATCTACTGGCAAAATAATTTGTCTGGTAGATGCGTATGGAGTCATTGTGTTTGTACTCCAGGTAGGAAGGTAATGGGTGCTGCTCATCAGGCTTTGGTCCTTCACTACCTACATCACATGCAGAGAAAGAGAGAAGGTTTACATATCACAGCCATTAACACAATGCACTACTAGAGACTCAGCATTGATGGACCAAATCCTTATTATTCAACTTTTGAGCCTTTCCTGGAGGAAAAGCAAGTAAAAAAAAAAAATCCCACAAATTGACAACAGTGGTCTACTGTATGCAGAGAAAAAACACACAGGAAATGACAGGAGTTTGCTGAAAGAAAACCTGCAATAGCATGTAGAAGACTTGAGTAGGCAAAAGCCTGGCAATGAGTAGTCCCTTTCTACAAGAGCTCTACAAACTGCTCAGGCATGACAAAGTAGATAGTGGAAATACTTCCTCTGTTGTTTTTTTTTTTTTTTTACCTAAGAGCTGATGGACAGACATCTTAAGAAACTTTATTAAGAATCATAAAATACCAGTGTACTGATATATGAAGCTGCTTCAAAAACCAGTATTAACTGTCAAGACATCCATTTGCATTGTCACATACAGGTCAGTGACAGAAAAGGAGGCTTACATACATACTGCAAGGACGATTTCTGCTCTGTTCTGTGTGTAAAGTCATATTCTTCAATAAGCAAACTCCACCTGGATCATGATACTTTTTCCTTCTCTGTGTGGCTTACTGGGGTTCTCCAAGGGGTTGTTTTAGCTGTTTCCCCTTACAACTAAACTACTTCTTGAGATCTGGGCACAGCAAAGCAGTTTATTCTATGTTCACTCTCAACGGCATCCATCATCCAACATAAGTCTTCTGCTGTGGAAACTTCCTGATCTTATATGAGAGTATCTCCTAGAGTACAGAACCTAACTACCACTTCTGGCTAGGCTCTGCAGTCGCTACTAACCATCAGAGAGGAAGACTGCTTAAAATCCCAGGCTAGGGAGCCCTTCAGTGAAACTCAGCAACTATATAGGAAATTATTTTGCTGTGTAGTGATGAGGGTGTACATCTGCATGTAAATCATATATGATTTATAGCCTATAGGCTATGGAGAGAATGGTATTAAATGATAATTACCATCAGCCTCTCTGACAACCACGGTAAAGTACTTCACAGCTCCATTAGTATCACTAAACCAGCTGCAGTTAAAAGTAAAGTTGATGGAGGATTTGGTAATCAGCACCTCTTTTTTGTTTACTCGTATGTCTGGAGGTGGCTGAGGGGGACCTGAGAAATGAAACAAAAGAAGAAAAAAAAAAAAAGGAAAAGCATTATCTTTGTATTCATTGTGAGCTATACCTAGAAAAGGAAATGTAATTTTGAATAAAGTTCAGATGACTGGACCCAAGTTTCCGATGATATTCTTTTGCAGTTAAGAAAATGTCTTCACCTCCCACAGGGAAACTGCCAAAGGATGAAACAAGCCAATGGTGAGTCAACCATAATAACAGTGGCAGCTCCTCAGTAGGAATTCCTGCAGAAACCCACTTAGAAATGCATTAAAGTCTTGCTAAATCTATGAAATCAGAATTTGCAGCTGCTAAAGATGACACAAGTTTAAACCAGGTATATGGAAGCCAGTTAGCCCACTCACTAAAAGACGTTACCTATTTTAAGCATCTAAATTTCTGTTTCCCTTTCCAAATGAACAGCAAGGAGTCAGACACAGCATTGAACTACAAAACACCATTTTGCAAACTGATTCCAGAATTTCTTCAGGAAGCATTCTTTGTATGATAGAAAACTATACCTTAAACAGTGGCATAGCAGAATTAAACTGCAAAGCAAAGTAGCAGGGATTTTAAAGATCTACATTGTGGAACGATTTAAAAATCTGTTCCACTGCAATTTGATTGTGTGCACAGAAAAAAAACCACTTCAAACACACAAGCAGGTGGCTGAACTTCAAAAGGTTTCAGACAGGAACAAGAACCAAAAATTCACATTTTTATGGTACTTAGTTAAGCCTCTTAAATCTATAAAGCCAGGCTGTAATTTTTAGGAAGAGCTGTGTTTCCTCGGGGTAGAGCTAAGGGTTGTAACTAAAAGTTCCATGCACTGGCCATTGTGGAGTTCAATTTCTAACCAACACACGCAGTGGCTTATTGCTGATCACTGTCTCCTTTCACAGCAATTCTGCATTCCACTTACGGTCAATCATTGTGATAGTGCTGTCTTCAACTACTTCACTTGTCATGTCTGCAGAATGCACCTTGATGGACACCAGGTAGCGCTTGTGGGGAACAAGGGTCATTATATTGAGCAGAGTTTTGTCTTTTTCTATCCTTTTAGAAAATTCCACTTCCCGAGTGTCCAGTTTTTTGCACTCAACGCTATATCCATCAAAGTCAGAATCAGGAGGAGTCCAGGAACATGCAATAGCAGTAGAAGTCTGGGGCCGACAATGAAGACTTTGAATCTTGTCTGGTTCTATAAAAATGTGGAGAAATTTAAAATCAGTGAGAAAAGGGACAGGCATCAAACACTCACCCCGTGGCTCGGGTAGCATCCCTAGATTCAACACCACATAATCAGAGCAGGAGGCCAGGAGCCAGAATTCCTCTCTCCCACAGATGTGCACTTCCTGATTATTGGGCAAGGCAGGCTAACTCATTTCAGCCATCTGAAATTGGAGCTAGTGACATTGGTTTCAGCAGATTTATGAAGTAATTAAAACTTCAGCAAGTAATTTTGTTTGTTTTCACTATTAACAGAAACACTGCAAAGCAATGGATTTCTAATACTGTGCTGCAATTTATTTGGAGGTTACACCTGATTATCAGTGTCAGTCAGTACTGATACCATTATTTTACGACTGATCTGGTTTGCTGGATAGGATGTGGTGTGTTCTTATTGCTAAAGCATACCACAGAAGTATGCTTTGTCCATGTCACACTGGAATATCACAGAACATGACATGTAGCAAAAATGGGATTTCTCCTTCAGATGGTGGGCATCTACCTACATTTAAGCAGTCAAATACAGGTCAAAACTATGCTGTCATTTTTAATTACAATAATGAATGAAGTCTAAAGGGCTATTAGCTTAGTAAACATAGGTGTGACATGTGACCCCATGTGACATGAAAGTCTCCATGGCTGTTATTTTTACGATTCTAGATCACTTCTACAAATGAGTCGACTGCTGAGGCTTCTAAAGACAGCTAGAGTTGATGAAGATCCACAAGCACTGACTGCCAGAAATGCAGAACAACGAAATACTCTGCTTCCAGTTTTAAATCTCGTACAGCAGGGTTCCACTCATCCTCTCCAACTGTTCAGACACTGATGAGTTCAATGTTCTACTGTCCTTAGACAGAGAAGTTTGGTTATTCAGCCTTCTGGTATCCCTGAAACTGACTGATTCAGACTGTAACCAAACAGCTCTGCTCTGGACGTGACGTTTGCAAATGTATGCCTGTTTTCAATCTTTAAACACTTGACCTTGCACACAGCAAGGGATTATTTTAGAGTTCAGCAGAATTCATCGCCAGTCACTCATGAATTTATTAATGGAAATTACTGACTGTGAAAGGAACTAGTAAGATTTAACAGCTTTGCAACTTCTCCAGCTGAGTGTTAGGGTGCAATGGATATAATTACTTACTGGTTCTCACACTTTCAGACTGTGACTGACTGTATGTCTTCCAGCTGTCACCACTGACCGTTCTGACACTGAACTTATAGAGCCTTCCAGGTCGCAGGCCATAGATGATGCGTACTTTTGATTTGCTGCTGCTGTAGGGATTGAATACTGTGAGGGGATCCTTTGGGAGCCACTGCAACTCAAAATCATCATAGTCTGTCCAGTCTGGAGGACCCAGCCATGTGACTGATAGAGAAGTGTTTGCAACATCAGCGAACGACACAGCGTTAGGAGGGCTGGGTGCTACACAAAAATAAAATAAAATAAGAGACTGACTCTTACTAAACTTTTACACAAAACAAAGAAGATGAAACACAGTGAAAAACAGTGCTGAACAAAATCACAGGTTTAATACCCTCTCAGATGTTCTTTATCTTTTAGATCTTCAGTGACTCCTGTAACAAATTGTTCCTCAGAAAACGGCTGTTGTTGTGAAATGATATGAATCCTGTAGAAATGACTAATCAAAAATTTCAGAGCTCTTGGGTCGTACCTGTTCTTCCTTCAGCATTTGCTGTATTGATCAGGTCACCGCTGTGAGTCACCACAACCAGAGTGTACTTTCTGCCAGGAACAAGCCCCTGGAAATGCCACTCTTTCAGGTCTTTTCCCTGCAATGACTCTTTCTGCGTCCCATTTGGGTTGTAAAGATTGAACTCATAAAAGTCAACATCTCCGGCTGCTGGACTCCAGGTGAACCACAGACTGTCTGTCATGTTTCTATTGGACGCCTTGAGACCAACAACTGGAGCTGGTGCTGAAAAAAGGGGGTGGATATTAATTTACAGAGAACATCCTTGCAGAGGAGAAGCAACAAGACAAGACAGACCTTATCCTTAGATACAGATATAATGGTTTCATGTAATGACAGTCATGTAGCAATCTAGACAGGCAGAACAGTTGGCCAAAACCCTAGGAAGCTTCAGAAGTACATCTCAACAGTTTGCTTTCTTATTTAGATCTTCCACTGTCCCCAGAAGGGGTAGAAATGTTCATAACAGATGGTTTTGCAAATGTTAAGCAGCTTTCTCCTAGTCAGTATCTGGAAACATCCAATTCTGAGGCAGCTGAAGAAAGTCTGCTGCTGTTCAGCAGTGGTGCACAGATGTTACCATACAGTGGCTTAGAGGATAAAGAAAGGCTTCAGAGATGTCAGATCTGCTAGCGCTGCTTAGGAAACTGCTTCCCATGTGTGACTGAGAAAATGTGGAGCTGCAGCCAGAACTCACCATGGCAAAGAAGTTTTATTTCACTGATAGACTGTCTACTCTATTAATCCTACTTTCTTTGCCTTTTTGCCTTTTCCACTTACAGACCAGCATTGCTTTTTGAGTAGAAGATAGGTGTTCTCCTTTAAAGCTCACGCATCACACACTGCGATACCCATCTCCTGACCTCAGTACCTGGTGACTATAGTACAGTGCAGATAACAAACTTCTCTGCTACATTTTTCCTTTTGTAAACACACCACTCAGAATTTTTCCGCTTATCTGTCTAATGCTCTTCATATGTAAGAAAATATTGATACTTCTAACAGTTGCCCTAATCTACATGAGCACCACACTCAGACTATCTCAATGGATGCTCTCGTGAGCACTGCACTGGAGGCAGATTTTCTCACATGTCACTACCTGTTCTCCCAAAGACAGATGATTCATTAGTGAGGTCTCCACTGTGGGTAACAATCACCATTCGATACATCCTGCCTTGCCGCAAGTTCTGGAATGAACACTGCTGAAGGTGCTGCTCTCCTGAAATCCTGTCGTGAAGGGACTTGTCTGGGTTGTACAGGAAGATGTCATATGAATCAAGCTCCCCTTGTGAGGTGGTCCAGCTGAAGGACAATTGGTCAGTGGTATTCTCTGTGACTTTCAGATTTGTGACAGCTGCTGGAACTGAAATGAAGGATAAATGCAAGGGTAAGAATCAAGGCGTCTATCCACTAAGCTGAACCTTTAATAAGTAACTGCTCATGGTTGTAATACATTTTAGTTAAGCCACAAGTAGCCAGTTAATGTCAACAGCAACTTTCAGAAACAAGGGAAGAGCATTTATAAGGTGCCACTGAGTTTCTCCAATACAATATTTGCATTCCCCACTCTATTCTCTGGCCTGTGCTCACACAGAACTGCCCTTTCATTTCTACAAAAAGCTTTTCTAGAATAAAGATTGCAAGGCTTGGCTCAAAGTTTAAAGATGCATATTCACGTCAAAACCTGTGCTAAGAGCCTAGAGACTGTGAATGAGAAATTTTATAACAATCAAGAATTCAGGTCATTCCATAACAGACAGACTGAGGGAGGTACTTCACTGTTTGATATAGCATTCTTACTGTGAAACTGTGTCCACCTTATTATGCAAACAAATTTCAGACACACATATGAAGCACATTACAGGAAAAATGGTACATAAGCAGCTGGAGTTGCTCTTACCAAAAGATTTTCAGTATCAAGATACACAGACGATTCATGTATTTAATGTTATCATACTGAGGAAACTATAAATAAACTGAGATATTATAATTACCTGTTCGCCCAACAGTTTCTGCTCGTTTACTGAAGAGTCCACCACTGACTGTCAAAACATGTATTTTGTACTTCTTGCCAGGTAACAAATCTTCAAATTTGTGCTGTTTGGCAGTAGCTGGCTCTGATTTGTTGCTCAGGAGGACTCCTTGCTCATTCAAGAGCAGAATGTCGTATCTTTCAGCTACACCAGGAGCTTTCTGCCAGGTTACTAACAAGGAATGACTGCTGTAAGCATGATCAGCTAATAACTCCTGGACAGAGGCGGGAACTAGAAGCAACAATTAAATGTGAACATTACCAGATGAAATATGGACCATGCAGTACACAATTCTGACTAATTAATAGAGATTATTTTTAAAAATTTGTATGTTCATTCATGAGAAAAGAGATGGGTGTCTGTGCACGTATTTGCATAAGTAAATAATTCCTAGACATCAGAGTATCATGGATATCTGAGGTGGCATAAAGAGCAAATTATACACTTAAATTATCATGAAAAGAGTGAGATGGAGCATGACCAAAAACTGACGCTGAAATGGACAAGAAAGATACTATGGAAAAGAATTGAAAAACAAAGTGGTAAATTGGTTCAAAATAGTGGCACAAAATAGGAAATATGAACTAGCCACTGCTGCACAAAAGTTAAGGCCACAGTAAACATTTTGGTATATAACAGAGAAGGTGGATTTAAAACAAATTGTTCCTCTGCTTTTGTGCCATGACAAGCAGAATTTTGGGGCATCATACTGTCTTAACAATCTTGACCACTGCTGGCACACAGTGCATCTTGCAGATGCATATGCTGGATAGACAAGCACAAGACTGGGCAGAGATGAAATTTTGTTCTTCCTAACAAGACACATTTTGAGCTGTGAATCTGAATCCCACACACGTTTACCCAGGTAAAGCTACTCATGTAAGAGTTCTCAGTGGCATTAATGGAATTACACCCAAGTAGCTTCTGGGAAGATATAAAGTTACTTGCTCCTCGTCTCAAAAGAAACTTACTAGTTCTCCCAGAAGCTGCTAAGCTGTTGTGTAAGGCACCACTGTTCGACTGCACCACCACCCGGTACTGCTCCCCAGCTTCCAAATCATGAAATGTATGCTCTGAGACATCTTTGGAGACACTTCTGGAATCAAGCTGATGGTTTTGCTGAAATATAGTCACTGTGTAGGAATCAACATCTCCACTTCCAGGTGTCCAGTTCACTTTCAGGCTGTCTGTCATACCATTAGGTGAAACGTGTATGTTTCTCACTGCGCTTGGAACTGAAAATAAATAAAATAGAACACAAAGACACCTGCTCACAAAGTTCCTGGTTCATTCAAGTTTTTGAGTCCTGTTCTTTTTTATGACTACAATAAACACTTCAGAGTACAAAGAGCGTTCATGAGTACAAGTAATTGCACTCACAGGTAAACACAAGTAAAGCTGAAAATATCTGTGTAGGACTGTGATGTCACAGAAAAACAACTCCATGTGTTTATAGCAGTAGTAAAAAAAAATTAAGTAGGTCAAAAAGAAAAGAAAGTGTTTTAACATTCCTTTAAATGAATAAGCTCCCTCTTTTTACAATGATACTTCACAGACCTTCAGGAAAATCAAAGCCCCTTGTGTACATTTAATTAGTTAGCCATTTTGCAGTACATTTAATTAGTTAGCCATTTTGCAGTTAAAATCTCACCTACACATTGTAGGTAGGTAAACAGAGGTGTAAAACAGCTTAATTGATTTAGCTAGAGATACTAAGCAAACAACTGGCATGCATGAGAATAAAAGAAACCCTAACACTGACATTTCAATACTGATGTACTGGTGTGGTTTTCAGTGAGATCTCCCATGTTCATGATGTGTTACAGGAGCTCAAATAAGATCATGGTTCAGCCTTGATTCTCTGTGCATCATTTTTCTGCTAGAAAAGTCCCAACACAAGTTCTAAGTACCACATTCCTTCTTACTTGTCAGGCCTTCTATGAAAGTAGCACGTTGTGCATCTCCACTGATTGTCAAGACAAGAATTTTGTATAGACGTCCTGGAGTCAGAGCTGTGAACCAACACTCCTCGATGGTGTTCCCAAGGAAAATGGGTGGGAAGATCTTCATATCATTGTAGAGGAGCTGAATCTCATATTTATCAACATCACCCTCAGCCTTTGACCAGGTTACCTGCAGATCTTCTGTGCTTCTGTTACTAAGAGTCAGTTCCTTCACTGACTCCGGCACTGAATAGGTGAAAAGAAAGGAAAACTTTTCAGTACTTCTTAAAACATCATAACAAAAAACAGATAACAGCTCAGAGGCCATATTCCTGAGCTAAAACTTTTCATTCAGTTCCTCAGGAAAAACAATAGATTGCACTTAATTTAAAGGCTTGTTGTTTGTGGTCTGCACTATATAGAACACTGAAAGGTCCCCTTTCAGAAAAGGGAGCCCACAATCTATCCTCTTTAAAACAAACTCACAAACAAATAATGGAGCTGGCACAGAGTTTGCACTGCCAAAAGAACTTGAGAAGCATCCCTATGTACAGCAAACACGGTGCAAAGAGTTCTCAGCTAGTGGAGATCTAAGGAAAACTTTGATGCAGTACCATGCTGTGCAGTTCCTGACTCCTGCCAGATGCAGGTCAGTTATTCTTGCCCAGCACTGCATCTATGTTAATAAACTTGTGTGTCTTAGCATGGCTCATTAGCTTACTTGTATCACTAGGTCAAGACAGTCAGGTTGCACCCAGATACCTACTGGCTCACAACCAGCCACCTTACCACTCATGCCCCACGCTATCCAACAATTCCAGATCATGGGGAAACTTGGGAAAAGTAAGGTGTACCTTTTTCCTCTTACATTACCATGACAAGAAAAAATCCGTCTTGTACATTCTGACTCAGCTCATGAATAAGTCCTAAGCTGATGTGGAAATCCGTACAACTCTGTTTCTCAGTTTTCCACGTTTCAAGATTTAGCTTTCCAAGCTCATAGCACATATCTTTTTATTTTTTTTTTTCCACTTTTCTCATCTCTAACTTAAAAATCACTCATCAACTCAATATTGGTTTTCATCTTTAGAATGACACAAATTCAAAGAGTCACATTCAAGATTCTTCCTATGTTAAAATAATGCAAAAATTTTAAGAACAAGGTATGGTAAATAAAAGAAAATTCTTAAGCATCTCAGGATGCTTTTGGGATATTTACTTACTTGTTCTGCCAAAAACCCTCTCACTGGTTTCGTATTTTCCACTTCTTGTGCTGACTGTGACACTGTACTGCCTCCCTGGGACCAGATTGGTGAATACACATTCATTTTCATCCTTTGGGACACTTTTTGTTTGGATGAAATCATTGTTGTTCTTGATGATCACTTCATAACTATCAAAAGATCCAGAGGCATGTAGCCAAGACACCTTCAAATAGTCACTTCTGGCTGAATTGCTGACAGTAAGTCCTTGAACACCCGAAGGAACTGAAAGGAAAAAGAAACAAAATTAAAGATTCAGAAAGCAGTCACTTCTTTAAGTAAAAGGAGTCTCTGTAGTGGATTATATTCGTGGTAATTACCAGACATTTCCGAGGAAGTTGCACAATGCCCACAACACAGATTTAAGCAATACTCTAACCTTTTATAATCATAACTGGACAGTTTCCAGTCTGGTTCACATCGTATGTCAATGGTCTCCTTTTTCAATTTTCAGTCTTAGCGAACACTGTGTCAGTTTTGCTTACTGCAGAGTTCCACACGTTGACACTGAATTTGCTTCTCCTCATTTATATGGTTGTCGCTTGGATTTTCACTTATGTTGTGAGAAAGCTAAAATAGCACTTACTGCACTAACTTAGTAGTCTTTGTGATTTTAACACTCCTTACCATGCTTCCTTTATTCTACTGCTTTACAAAGTATAAAGTCCCTGTCTTCATCTTTGAGGAAGTTTTGAAAAGTTTTCCATCATTATGGTCACCCTTCTCTGAAATTTCTCTGAGCATTGCACAATCAAAAACAACGTGGAAGTAACATGGATGTTACTGATTTATGTGACACCACACTAACATTTCAGTAGTTAGCTCCTATTCCTTGCTTTCAGCATCTGCATAACTTATCTGGGAGATGTTCTGCAGAATGCATTTCAAGAGTCAGGTAGAAGACTTAAGAGCAAGAAAATGCACTTGAGACATAACATACATGATTTCTGATCATTCACAAGAACTGACACTCAACTTCTATTCACACTAAGATCATTCTGTATGACAAAAAGCAGCAATAGGGACAATAAGAATAAGACAGTCAGTAAAGTTGTAATTTTGTGGTTTGATTCCCCAAGCCCCTAATCATACACTGACAGATATTTGTGTATTACTAATAATGGCTACCCAAAGTTGTTGTGGTGACTGGATTTACTTAAAGGCTCTATTTACCTGTTCGTTCCTGGCCGAAGGAATAATTTTCATACTTTCCACTCTTTGTGGTTATCATCACGTTATAAAGTGTCCCAGGAGTAAGGCTGCTGAAAGAGCACTCACTGAGAGACTTGGAAATGGTGAGAGTCTGAATAATATGGTCATCATGAGATAGTGTTACCAAGTAACTGTCTACATCTCCAGAAGCTGGCAGCCAAGAAACACTGAGGTAGTCACTGCGACCTGAATTATTTACTGTTACTCCAGTCACACTGGAAGGAACTGTGCAACACAAAGGAAAGAAAACAAAACAGAAGAGCTTTAATTAGTCAATTCTTATTGGTGAGGATGCCTGGAACACAACCCTGCAAAATAAGCCACCTGGGAATCTGAGGACTAGCTATGCACTGATTCCCACTCACAAGCAGTCATCTGCTGTTTTGAACACTGAGAGAAGTCTTTGGTGGCACCATCCCAACACTTCCAAAATTCCACAAGATGACATAACTTATGAAAGTGCCATTCATCACTAGCAGCAATAACTACTGATACTTGTTTAGAGTATGAATGTGTTTCATTTACAATGAGTTCTCTGACGCCTAGTGGCCAAAATATGAATGCAATTTGTTTTTCAAGCAAACAAGGTGAATTGAAAGTTTCCATGCAGCCGGAACTACCATCAGTTTCAGGTACAGAACTATCAAGAGTTATTACAGAGGCAGGCTTACACCATAAGTAACTGCTTTATCTTCAGTGGACTCTGATATACTGAACTGACCCCAGTAGAGAAGCTGGTTGTCAGCTATGGTAGTCAAAATTATTAGATTTCACAAAGTATGTATATATATTTTAAAGTCTTTTAATGTTATTCTTCTCCAGTGGTTTTTATTTTTCTTTCTACTTGAAGATAGTTATCTTCAAGGAGAACACTGGAACAAACTACAGAATGCCTTGACTTTACCAGCTTCACATAAAGGGTGAAATTGCACTGCATTGTCAATTTTTCCCTCCATTCAGTATCCAAAGAACTGCTACTACATTTCACAGATTATTAAACATACAGAATCTGATGCAATAATAAAATCCATCCCATGCTGCGTAGCAGGGCCTCATAAACAGTAAGTATCACTGGTGGACATTCTTTAATGTTAGAGGAAAATAACAGGTCATAAGACTCAGATCCAAATTCATCCCACCACCTTCAGGCAGCTAATTTGCATGCCACAAATCGTCCTGTACTGCTACATAGTCAGTACAACAAGAAAGGCCCTTCCAAGGAGCAATCCACCCACCACAGCTGTACAAGCATGGCATATTTTTTCTGGGATACAGAATGGTCCTGCTGTAGAGAGTTCCTATTGCAGGCAGAGCAGATAGCTCCACAAAGTAACATAACCTGAATCTGGATCCACAACATCTCTGAGTGTACACACAGGCAGCATGTATTGAAACCCATGTATTTCTGAAGCTGCAGTCCAGTGGCTTATCTGGAAGACCATTCTCTTCAATAAATTTGCTTTCGAAGAATTTAAGAAGGCTTGCTGGTGTATTTCTTTTTTACCTGTTCTCCCCTCTGCAATTGTTTGTCTTGAAGATATCCCCCCACTGACAGTGGTCACAACAACTGAATAGAGTCCTCCAGGTTTCAGGGGATAGAAGTGGTATTCATTGGTTTCACTGGAAACAGTTTCATTCTTAATGACAACATTCTCATGAATCAGTAGTACTTGATATGAGTCTACATCTCCCAGTGCTCTTGTCCAGTTGGTGAACAAGCTGTTGGTTGATCCCTGACTTGCCACAGTCAGACCGGTCACTTGGGCTGGCACTGCAAAGCAAAATGTCATTATGTTACTGAAGAGAAACAAAATAAAACACTCACCTCCAAATAACCCAAATTTAGTCAGAATGAGGAAGTACATTAAAAGAGCTTTCCAATTTGTAGCCAGACTCAACAGGACTAAAAATAACCTGTAGACTGCTTCCTGTCTGATGGGATGTCGTCTAAGGGAAACTATGGCACAGAAATGTCTCTCAGGCTTCAGCACAGCTTTTCTTAGTCAGACCTAAATGCCTTAAGATCAGAGATCTGGAAGAGGCAGCATGTTATAAATGCCATTAAACAAAAGCCATTGATTTAGAAAATCATTTGTTTTTGTGAAGATAATTTCAAATACAGCCTTTCATTCTCCTCTTGCCCTCCTAGTCTTTATCTCTTACTCCTATTAAATGGCAAACCAATTTGATGAATGCCTCAGACAGTCATCTGTACTTCAAAGAACTCTGTGTCAAGATTCTTTCATTTCATGGGGTAATGAGATAGAGGGTTTTATTTTACTCTTTATGCCAGAAATCTACAAGATTATAGCTTTAAACAAACAAGACTTTTATTTAATATATAACTCAGATCATAAAGGAAAAAAGAAGTACAGAAAGAAATATTTAGCAGAAATTCTCCTCAAAATGCTGTTACTTCTGCTTATATGACCAATTATAACTGAAATAAATAGTCCTTTTGCTTCGGAAAATATGATTGTAAGCTTCTTGTTTCATATCAGCCTTTTTGCATATGAAGTACTGGATTAGCTATCATCAATAAAAACTAGAAAATCAGGCGCACAGCTGAAAAAAAGGCCAATAAACTGGAAACAGAAGCCCCACTTTTTTTCTAACAGTCACAACATAATGAGATCCAGCAAAACACAGAAGTGACAGACTTCTCTGCTAAAGATACTTTTATCATTATCTCAGGCTTCACCAAAAGCTGACCAACCTATGTAAGACCTATTATGACACATTTAGAGCATTACTGTAAAAGTCAAGCAGTTCGTCCTACTGAGAAGATTCAGAGGCCTGGAATGCTTGTTGAGACCTGTATTTAAATTCATTGATGCTCCTCCTTTATTGCTTTGAATGCAATCCTGACACATTACCCCTGTGTGATGTGTTTTCAGGCACTGATTTGCATTAGTGAAGTGGTACACTGTAACCTCTATGCTTAAACAGGCTGTTTAAAGGGGCGTTAGGCAGAACGAAGTATAGCCCCAGCTATTCAATCACATACCAGAGAAATTAAACTTTAAGTCAAACTCTTAAGGAATTGGAAGGAGTTGCAACACTTCAGTAAGGACCATATCAAGTTGTAGGCATGATTAGATTCATATACCAGCAGCTTGCTTTCTCTTGGGCTTTGCCAGACCAAAGCAATATTTTAAGACTTTGTTATCACTGGAGAATGCATAAGTCAAGCAGAGCAAAGGAACACATATGGTTTAAAACTTCCACACGTGCACAAAATTAGCACCCTGGAGGGGGTGGGAATGGGACTTCACTTGTGTCACAGTCATCATTCTAAGTAACAGATACGGAGTTTGGAATTAGATGAGCGGAGAGAATCAAAATCTCGTGTCATTAGTGATAGGACCAGGGGGAATGGTTTCAAGCTACGGCAGAGGAGATTCAGGCTGGACATGAGGAAGTATTACTTTTCAGAAAGGGTGGTCAGGCACTGGAATGGACTGCCCAGGGAGGTGGTGGAATCACCGACCCTGGGGGTGTTCAAGGAAAGGCTGGATGTTGTGTTGAGGGACATGGTTTAGTAGGAGCTATTGGGAATAGGTGAACGGTTGGACTGGGTGATCTTTTAGGTCTTTTCCAACCTTAGTGATTCTATGATTCTATGATTCTATGAAAATATCTTTCCAAGGTCACATATGTTTTTTGTCTGTCAACCTTGGAATGTTCCCCCTAAATAAACATTTTCCTTCATGGTATTTTTCCAGATGATGCATGCTTTCAATCAAGGAAGTGACCTTCCCCAAGATATGCAGTGAACATTGTTCTTCTTATATGGAATCTTTTGTTAATGTAGATTGATCTGATATGACATAATATTTCAGAGAACAGTTTTGCCAGAAATTACATATCTATCTTCCCAAAACTTTAAATAAATACTGCAAGATATCCAGGAGTCAGAATGAGAGACTAGAAATGTAGCTCTTCTGCTGAAAAAGCAAACATAAATTGAAGAGTTTTGATATTTAGACACTGAATTCATCCAGTTCACTACAAGGCAATCAAAGCAGATGACAGTTAACAGAAGTAAAGATCAAAATAGATCGGCAGGACAGTACCTGTTCTTCCTTCCACTGAAGTCCAATTACTTAAGATCCCACTGATGGTAGTGATTGTTGCTGTGTATTTTCTTCCAGGTACCAACTCGTTGAAAGTAAATTCTTTAGCTTCTTTTCCAAGCCCTTTTTTTATGACAGTAAGATCTCTGTCTCCCAGTGAAACCACGTAGCTGTCCCATTCTGCAACAGGGGTCACCCACATGACACTAAGCGAAGATTCATTAGCATGCTTTACACGCAGCTGGAGAACAGGCTCTGGAGCTGCAGAAGTACATAAATATCAAAAGAACATGCCTTGTAGTAAACATATGTACATATCTCAAGCTGCTGTAAAGAATCAATCTAGAAATGTAACAGTAATAGAATTAATAAAGAGGAGATTCTTTACCTTTCTTAGGAAACCTGTCTTTACAAATACAGTATATGTGCTGTTCTTTCAGCAACAGGCTGTGGCAGCAGATTTCAGCAATGCATTATGGATGCAATTCTAAGGCTTAAAGGTTTAAACTTATGCCAGGATATATATTATAGTGTGAATTCAGTGAAGTCAGTAAGCCTGCTCTGGAACCACGGATGTTAGACCAGGCTATAAAACTTTTGTACCATAAAACACATCTAGGTCAATTTAGCCGTGACAAACAAGGATGTAAATTACAGGGTCAGAGTGACATTGATTCTATGCTAGTTTGTATCTCAGTGAAGTTGGGAGTGACTTCAAATTTACAGTTGTATAGAAGAAGAAATTGACCTTTCTGCAGTGAATTTGTTAAGTGTGCATACGTGCATGCACTCACAAACACAGAATGCTTGCCACCAGTAACACCACAAACTAAAGTTTTGTGTAATTCATATCCAAGTAAGCAAGATGGTTGATCAGATTGGTGAGAAGTTAGAGGAAAATTTCAGTTCTGCAGCTTCTACTAGCTTTGCCATTACACAAAATCAACAAAATGAAATCCTCATGGAGTGACAAGTAAGGGCACAGCAGGAAAGATGGCCATCAGAAAGGATGAGGATGAAGTTCGGTGGTCCCATCTTATCACACATTCTCCTGTGAGGTAAGACTCAGCCTAGACTCCTGCTTGACACTCCTTCTTCTCCAAGTTTTCCTGTCCTCCAAGCTGCACTTTTTTGTATTCACAGAGCAGAACAATTAACAATTAATTTCTTAAGTTGGAAGCAATCAGATGTGGCTTTGACCAACATGCTCTAAAAAAATCCATTAATGTCACTGCAGTGCATACGGATTTCTTTTGGAAAAGCTGACTTAAACTAACACCATTTTCTTTATGGAGCACAAGAACAAGAATTAGGATATTACAGAATAACCAGTCTTATGTACACTTTAGCCAGCTTTGGTTAACACTGTTGATACTAATTAGTCATCCAGATTTGCAAGGAAACCAGTTTCCCACTGACTGTACTGGTGAACAATTCAAGAAGTTCTGTACTGCTGTATCAGAAGAACTACAGAGGGTACCTGTAACATACAAAACATAACTGAAATGTTGTGCATCTAGAGTTATGCCTCAGTCTTGACAGAATGGTGATTTTCCAAAAGTTTCATTAATGTATTTATCATGAAAATAACTCCTGAAAGTTTCCACAGAAGTGCTAAAATAACTATTTTTGTTGCTTACAATGAAGCTTTTTAAAGTTTACTAATTGTAACATTTATTTGTAGACTCCCAAGCACTACATCTTTCTGACTGTCCACAGAGCCAAGTTTTGTATTTTCATGCCTCCCAGATAAGCACACTGACCTGTTCTCCCCGTGCAGCTAGCCTTGCTCTGCAAATCACCACTCTCCACAATGACCTCAACTTCGTACTGCCTGCCTGGGATGAGGCCCACATCATGGACGAGGTGCTCGGTCACGTTCTTTCCCAGGGTGGTGTTGAGCACCAGAGCAGAGCGGTTCCAGAGGAGCAGATGGTACCGCTCCAAGTCTCCCGCAGGGGGCAGCCAATTCACTCGCAGAGTCCTCAGCCAGCCACCTCCACCGGCTTTCAGATCAGAAACCTTCTGGGGGACTGAAACACAGAGATGGAGAAAGTCATTTCCAAGTGGGGGATTTCAGGCAAGACATAACTGGACACTGACACGACATGCCTCAGAGCACAGCTACTGTGCACAGCTACTGTACACAGACCAGTTTAAGCAGCCTGAGGGGTCTTGTAGCAAAAGAAGGTGCTCTTTTTGAAGACATTTATATTCTTCCCCCTGCACAAATCACTCCCATTTTCACTCTTGGTTTCTGACAAAAGAAATTCTCTTCTTAGCAGAGGGAAAATCTCCCCTGTGCACCTCTAAGATGCATCCTGCAGGTTTCAGTTAGCTTCCCAGCTGTTCCCTGGAGTTAATTAAGTTTACTTAGAAATTGTATATCAATTTTTTAAGTTAAGGCCAAATTTCCATCACTACAGACCAAACTGTGGTCTCAACAACAGAAATGCAAAGCCTAACAGCTTCTTCAACAAATGCTTTGTGTGTCCTGGACCAAGGCAAAAAGGTCCTAACCTCAGTTCATTACAGCATTCACTCAGTCTGTTCCTCCACTTGAAGGATCCTGAACTTGCTCAGTCTTCCTGCCCTTCTGCTGTTGATCTCACTGGAATAGGGCTCTGGCAGCCCTGACTACTGAAACTTTTCAGATACTGTTAGATGCAGATCTTTAGCTCAGGATACCTGTAACTTACTGTTAAGACACTCCAAGATGACCATTAGAGCCCTGAGACCTCACTAAATATTAACTGTAAACTGCAAGACTAGAATTGTGCTCTCATTTATGCACTGGCTTAGTTAATACTTAATTACTCAGTACCTAGAAATGATTGAATGATTTCTAACAACAGCACAAACTACTTACCAGTTTCATTTCCCACAGGCATAGCTGGATATCAAACCTAGATCTCTCACATCCCAGAGAACATGGGACATATGTTTCAATTGCTGAGTGAACGGATAAAAGCAGGCCTGTTACACTGGCCTGTAAGGGCATCATTACACCCTTATGATACAAAACTTCAGCTCCTGAGACATCCATTTTCCTTGCCCCAATGTTTCTCAATAGGTTCCATTGGCAGAGGCACTCTCTCAACACAGCATGACATACGTTATATTCTCTCGTACCCATCTCTCCTCATGAGTTACAGAGGGATCCTAAGAGTCTACACCCCTTCAGTGTCTGTAGACCTAAAAGCCAAGATTTATAAATCTTTAGGCCACAAAATGTCTGCTGAGGTGACTGTTTTCAAAGCTCTTGGTGTCTATGGAAAAGACAGCTCAAGGGAAGGAGCTGCACGTGATCAGCACCTTTTGAAAAGGGACCTCTATGTTCCCAGCTTGAAAGTACTGGGTCTAGGTCACAAATTAGGGGATCGCTGGTTTTAGTGATAACCTGAAGCTCTCCCTTCAAAGGGAAGTTAATCCTAATGGTCACTAACGATAAGCTAGACAAGCAACATCAACATACATAAAACTGGTCCTGCTTTGCACTTTCTGAACTCTAAAAGGGCTTTTCAAGTACCATCCCACCGCATGCGACTGCACTGAGAATGAGGTACAAGCTAGATATGTCAAGGATGATCCTGCCTTTCACAGGGGCTGTTTAGTTGCAAATTGTAAATATTCTCTAAAACAAATTCTCTCACACACACTGTTTATTGGTTCTGAATTTATTAATAATTTATGTATGTTTTCCTCATCTACTTATATATTTCTTCCATCTAAATTCTACTTGGGTTGCACTGGTGTGGAAATTGTAAGTCTCTGTGGCCAGTAGGGCTGTAGGAGAAGTATGCCAGGGTTTGTCTAATTGAGAATTCATACAAGAGATGCCTGAGAGAAAATTACACTTCTGAAAGAAGACAAATAAAATACAATCCAACTCTACTCAGACTGCCACATGCCTTCCTTAGTCCACACTGCTGTCAGCAAAGAAGGCTAAGACCTAATGTTTTCCCATTTGAGCAAGAGATAGTATTAGAACATGTAAAATTACCTAAAAATCCAATAACAATTTGACTATGTGCAGACTTCCCTGTATGTAACTCATTTTACATACTATGCTGAGTTGAACGAAAGGCAGGGAATGCTGCAGAACAGTTTTGTAACCGATTCACCCCACTGTAAGATTCCAAAATGCACTACTGTTTCCTGGTCCCAAGGTATGCTGTAGCTGCTTTTGGCTGCCACATTAACTGTTGCCAAGGAGTTAGTAAGGAGTACTCTAGGAACAATACCGAGCTCTTTATCTTATTTCACCTGGAATCCAAATCATTTTTACTCCTGAAATGATTTTCTTCAAGGACAGCACAGGCAAAAATAGCACTGGTTGAAATGTTCTTACTGAAGCAGAAGACTTACATGTCCTGCCAGTTGCCATCCTATCAGTAAACAGTTCACCACTGATTGTGCGGGCAGTAATCTGATAAAGACGTCCTGGAGTTAGTTTGTCAAAGTGAGTCTCTGTGACTGCTGGCTGTAAAGTTTTGACTTCTTTAACTGATCTAAGATGAGACAGAGTGATGTTATAGAAATCGACACTTCCTGAAGGTCTTCTCCACTTAACTTTTAAAGTATCGAAGCTGTCATCATTAGTCACTGTCAAATCTAAGACTTCAGCTGGGGCTAAAAAAAAGACAATAAGAAAGAATGAGAATAAAACATTTCAACCAAAGTACTTCCCTGTGGAATAAAAAAACAAAACAAAACAAAAAAACCCTCTACATTTTCTTGATTTTGAAGTTCTTAACCTGCTTTGCTATTTCATAGTCCAGGGTAAAAAAGGCCATGGATAATATTTTCAGCCCAAATTACAAACTCTAAGTATCAGAGAATCATAGAATCACAAAGGTTGGAAGTCTTTCCAAGATCATCTAGACCAAACACCGATATTTCTCCACTAAACCACGTCCCTTAGAACAATATCTAATCAGCCAAGGATGGTGATTCAACCACCTCCCCGGGCAGCCTGTTTCAATACCTGACCACTCATAGGAAATTTTTCCAAATATATGAAACTACCCTTCCCTGGTGCAACTTGAGGCCATTCCCTCCAGTCCTACCACTAATTACATGGGAGAAGAGAACAGCCCCCACCTAGCCATTACCTCCTTTCAACAGTTGTAGAGACCTGTAAGGTCTCCCCTGAGCCTCCTCTTCTCTAGACTGAACAATCCCAGTTCCCAGAGCCACTGCCTGTAAAACTTGTGCCCCAGACCCCCCACAAGCTTTGTTGCTCTTCCCTGGACATGCTCCAGGGCCTCAATGTCTTTCTTCTAGTGAGGGGTTCAAAACTGAACACAGTACTCAAGATGCGGCCTCATCAGTACTGAGTACAGGAGGACAATCACTTCCCTGCTCCTGCTGGCTACTCTATTTCTGATGTAAGCCAGGATGCCAATGGCCTTCTTGCCACCTGGATACAATGCTGGCTCATGTTCAGCTGAGCGCTGATCAACACCCCTAGATCCATTTCCTCTACACAGTCTTCCAACTGCTCTGCCCCAAGCCTGCATCTCTGACTGGAGTTGTGGCCAAAGTCCAGGACCCAGTACTTAGTCTCATTGAACTTCATCCCATTGGCCTCAGCCCAGTGATCCAGCTTATCTAGATCCCTCTGAAAGGCCGTCCTACCCCCAGGCAGATCGACACTTCCTCCCAACTTGGTGTCATCTGCAAACTTACTGAGGGTGCATTCAATCCCCTCGTACAGGTCATCAATAAAGGTATTAAACAAGACCGGCCCCAGTACCAACCCCTGGCGAATACCACTCGTGACTGGTCGCCAACTGGATTTAACTCCATTCACTACTACCCTGTGGGCCCAGCCCTCCAGCCAGCTCTTCACCCAGCAAAGAGTGTACCTCTCCTAGCCATGGGGAATCAGGGAGTTAAATCTTTTTCAATGACGTGGAATAACCATATACTGTCCCGATTCACTAAGAAAGTTGATATAAAAGTTAGATGGACCTTGTAACTTGTAACACCACTTCAGTTAGGCTCAAATTGTTGATAACTTCAAATGCTTGATGGAGCTGACTATGCTAAGCAGAGCAGTTAAGTCAGCTGTAGACACTTTAAAAGCTAATTTAGCAACTAACTTTGCTGTAATGATAACTTAGGAAGCTAAATTAGCTCATGGAGTCTGTAAATTCCTCTACAGCCTTTGAAGAGAAACACCTGTCAAGGGTAACTCAGTCATTTCTTATTCTTAAGTACGTTCTAATATTGCTAGATTAGAATCTTAGCTTCTCATTCTGCTGTGAAAAATTCTGAAATCATACCTGTCCTAACTATTTGAAAAGCAGTGCTCTCCAATTCTGCAGCTTGGGTTATCACAGAAAGGTTATACAGATGTCCTGCCGTAAGCCCAGAAAAAGTGTAAGAAGTCAGAGAATTTTCTTGATGACTCTCATGAACAGTGCCATGATTATCAAGTAACACCAGCCTGTACAGATCCACATGCCCAGAGCCAGGAGACCAAGAAGCATGGATACTGTCTGTCTTGACAATAACCTGGATGTTCTTCACAGGGGATGGCACTGTTGGAATAAAAAAAAAAAACAACACATGCTTAAGGCCTAATGGCCATCTCCACAATTTCAGCAACTTTGAACAGATTTACTTTTGAAATATGTTGAGCTTCTTTAGGGTTAGTGAAAATCTAATCCCAGACTTACGGCCAAACAGGTAACAAAGGCAAATGCTTTGTTACGTTAGTCAGTCATGTTTTCTTCACAGAATTGCAGGCGTTGGAAGGGATCTCAAGAGATCAACAAGTCCAAAATGCCCGCCAAAGCAAGTACTTTACAATAGGTCACACAGGTAGGTGTCCAGACGGGTGTTCAATATCTCCATAGGAGACTCCACAACCTCTCTGGAAAACCTGTTCCAGTGCTCTGTCACCCTTACAGTAAAGTTCTTCTGCATACTGATATGGAACTTCTTATGTTCATGTCCATTTTTAATCTATATCTATATATATATACATTACCAGGTAGAAGAATTATATGAATTTGCTAATTTTTAAACATAGAACTGCAAAATACTGTAAGTGGTTTTACTCAGATGAACTAAGGTAAAGGAAGTCGTACCAGTAGATCCATTTATGTGCAATTCTGCGGTACTTTTATTTCCAGCAACTGCAGTGAGGACAATATTGTATTTATTCCCAGGAACTAGGCCAGTAAAAGTTTCTTCAGTTTTTGAAAATCTTCCTGGTATGGAGGATTCTTGTAGCTTCTTATTACTGTGATCAAATACTACTATATTATACAAGTCCACCTTTCCTGGAGAAGGATCCCATTGAACCTGTAAACTTGTGAATGTAGTTTTCTCCTTATTAATTTCAAAACGAGGTGGTGGTAAAGGATCTGTAGTTAAAACAAACAAATAAACAAATATAAACCAATAGCAACAACAACAACAACAACAACAACAAAAAAGGAAACATAAACCAGTACTTCTTGCATTGGGACAGTGAGAAGCTTTATGTGGTACTAAAAAAAGAGTTCTACAACTCTCCCCTTTCATCATCACCCTGTCAGTGCTCTTCAAAAAGCCTTCCCCATTTCTGAGCATGTTACTGAAATCTGCTTTAAAGAGACTCCTGTAGAATTCAGAAATGTTACTTGTGCATATGTGTACATACTCACATACACACACCGCTTACAGAAAAGTGCTTGCAGTTGTGGATGTAAATCACGAGCTTGAAAATCTGATGATTAGTAAAACAGTAACAACTGTAACAAGAAACATCAAAATAAAAAAAGAACAACACAGATAACATTCAATGCCTCAGTATAATACAGCTTTATGGGTACAACAGTATCATTGGCTTTCACATCCAAGCTTTCTAGCACTCACACATAAACACTTCATCACTAAATCAGCAAAAACACCACAATTCTTTGTTTTTCATATTACCCTCAACCACTTACAATGGAATAAATATGTTTTTCTGGTGTACTATCATTTATAGAAATGTAAGTAACCCAAACAGTACACTGGACAAACATTTAAGAAAAATGTGATGATAATAGTTTAATAACTTAATTATAACTATTTCTCAGAAAAACAGTCTGTGTTCATACTGTTTATTAAACAGGTCTGAAGCAAAGCCACCTGGAAAATACACTCTAGAGGGACGGCAAACATTCACCAAAAGACTGGTTGTTTATATTCTCCTGGTATATTTGATCTCCTGCAAGACTTCATGCAAATCCAAAGAAATGTACTATATGTAGATGTACTAAGACTTTGACATCTCTATCTCCCAATAAGGTTAAACAATTGCATAATAAAAAAGATTCATTAATAAAACTCAATGCAGAAAATAAAGTATTCACAAGCCAGGAAGTAAAAGAATAAAGGCTTCCCAACAACTGAACAATTAAATTTGGCTTACATGGGAGTATGCTCTTTGCTATTCTTGTCTAGCAAACAAGGAGTGGAAAGGACATGCATTTTTTGCTGTGGAAATGATATCAGTGACAGGATTTCAACTATCAGCATCTCCCTCATAAGGAGAGCTTTAAATTAGGAAGGAGAGAAAGGAGGAAGGCTAACAAGCAGTCCTGTGGAGGTTGCTAAACAAAGGGGATGAGGTGATGTGATGGGGTGGGATCAGAATATCAACAAAATGGTGATTGAGCAGGGCCACCTGCAGCACTTGCAGATTAGCAAGGGTATGTCTACAATGCACCATTACAGAGACGCTTTCTAGGAACGCAACATACTGGGTGAAGCATCCTAAGTGGCTGTACACTAATGTATGCAGAATGGGGAACAGACAAGATGAATAAGAGACACTGGGATCATGGAGTTGTGGCAGGATGGCTCTCATGACTGTAGAGTTGTACTGGAAGGATGCAGGCTCTTTAGGAAGGATGGGCAGAGGAGACAAGGAAGGGATATCAATCTCTATGCCAGCAAACAGCTGGAAAGCATAGAGCTTTTGTTGAGTGATGGATGGGGAGCCAACTGAGAGCTTATGGGTTAGGATTGGGAGGACGACAGGGATAAACCACGTTATAGTGGGGAGATGCTACAGGTCACCAGACCAAGAAGACCAAGTGAATGAGGCTCCCTATAAACAGATAGAAGCAATCTTATGTTTACAAGTCCTCACAGAGGACCACCCAGGTATCTAATGGCAGGAAAACACTGCAGGGCATAAACAATCCAGGAGGTTCTTGAAATGCATTAATGGTAACTTTCTTCTCCACATGATAGAGGGATCAACAAGGAGAATTGCTGTGCTGGACTTCATTCACACTAACAAGGAGGGGCAGGCTGGTGGAGAATGTGAAGGTCAAGAGCAGCCTTAGCTACAGTGACTGTGATACAGCAGGGTTCAAGGTCATCATCACAGCAAGCTCAGAACCCTGGACTTCAGGAGAGCAGACTTTGTCCTCTTTGGGGATCCATTTGGTAGAGCCCCATGGAATACAGCCCTAGAAGAAAGAGAGGCTCAAGAAAACTGGATAATATTCAAGGATCAGCTCTTCCAAATTCAAGAATGCATCCCAATAGAGAGAAAGTCAGGCAAAAATGTCAGAAGGTCTGTATGGATGAACAAGGAGCTCACGGACAAACTCAAACACAAAAATGAAGCAAGGCTGGAAGAAACGACAACCTGGGAGGAACACAGAAATACTGTGGGATTTAATGCACCCTCAGCAAATTTGCAGATGACACCAAGCTGAGTGGTGCAGTTGACAAACTAGAAGAAAGGGATGCTATCCAGAGGGACCTGGATAGGCTTGAAAGGTGGGCCCAAGTCCAACAAGGCCAAACGCAAAGGTTCTGCATCTGGGCAGCCTCAATCACAGATACAGGCTGGATGGAAAATGACTTGAGAGCAGCCCTGAGGAGAAAGATCTGGGTGTGTCAATTAATGAAAGATTCAACACGAGCTGTCAATGTGTGCCTGGAGCCCAGAAAGCCAACTGTATCCTGGGCTGCATCAAGAGAAGCGTGACCAGCAGATTGAAGGAGGTGATTCTACCTCTCTACTCTGCTCTTGTGAGATCCCACCTGGAGTACTGCATCCAGTTCTGGACCCCTCAACACAAGAAGGACATGAAGTCCACAGAACATGTCCAGAGGAAGGCCACGAAGATGATCAGAGGGCAGGAGCCCTATGAGGACAGGCTGAGAAAGATGGGGCTCTTTAGCCTGGATAAGGTTCTGAGATCTCTTAGTGGCCTTTCCGGTACCTGATGGGACCTACATGAAATCTGGGAAGGGACTTTATATAAGGGCATGTAGCGACAGGACAAGACGGAATGGTTTTCAACTGGAAGACGGTAGATTTAGACTGGATATCAGGAATAAACTGTTTGTGAGGGTGGTGAGACACTGAACAGGCTGCCCAGAGAACTTGTGGATGGCACCTTCCTGGAAGCACTGACAGCCAGGCTGGATGGGGCTGTGAGCAACCTGGTCTAGAAGGAGGTGTCCCTGCCCATAGCAGGGGGGTTGGAATTAGATGATCTTAAACGACCCTTCCAACCCAAACCATTCTATGATTCTATGACTCTCAGATCACCCAGAGAAGGCATTAGGAAAGCTAAAGCCCTAACAGATTTTAATTTGGCCTGGGATGTTGAAGGCAACAAGGGTTTCTAATGTACATCAGTTACAAAAAGAAGACTAGGGAAAATGTGAGCCCACTATGAAATGAAACCAGAGAGCAGGTTACACAGGACAGTGAGAAGGCCAAGGAACTGAACGTGACCTTTGACAATATCCTCCATAAGATCCTCATAAAATAGAAATAGAAATATGGGCTGGATGAGCAGGTAAGTGAGTCAGATAAAAAAAATTGGCTGAGTGCGTAGGCGCAGAGTACACAATGGCAAAAAGATTAGTTAAAGTCCAGTAATGATCAGAGTATTCCAGGCATCAGTACTGGGCCCAGCCCTGTTTTACTTCTCTGTTAATGATCTGTATGACGGCACAGAGTGGACTCTTGGTAAATTTGCAGGTGATGTAAAACTGGAGGGAGTGACTGATTCACTGGAAGTTCATGCTGCCAACCTGAGGAGCCTCGACAGGTGGAGGAGGTGGACTCACAAGAATCTCATGAAGTTTAACAAAAAAGTGCAAAGCCTTGCGACTGGGGAGGAACAAACCCAGGCACTGGTACACACTGGGGGCTATCCAGATGGATAGCCTTTGCAGAAAAGGATCCCAGAGTCCTGGTGGACATCAAGTCGAATATGAATCAGCAACGTTTCCTTGCCACTAAGAAGGCTAATGTTATTCTCGGCCACATTAGGAAAAATATGGTAAAAATATGGTAGAAAGAAGTGATCCTTCCACTCTACTCAGCATTTGTGTCCATGCCTTGAGTATGGTGTCCAGTTCTGGGCAATGGAGTAAAAAGAGGGACATGGACATAATAGAGAGTCCAAAGCAGGACTACCGAGATGATTAAGGGACTCAAGCATCTTCAGAAGCTACACAGACATAGTTCTGGGTGATCTGCTCCTGGTGGCCCTGTCTGAACATGGTGGTTGGATCACAGAATCACAGAATTGTAGGGGTTGGAAGGGACCTCCAGAGATCATCGAGTCCAACCCCCCTGCCAAAGCAGGTTCCCTACAGCAGGTCGCACAGGTCGGCATCCAGGCAGGTCTTGAACATCTCCAGAGAAGGAGACTCCACCACCTCCCTGGGCAGCCTGTTCCAGTGCTCCGTCACCTCACTGTAAAGAAGTTCTTGCGCATGTTTGTGCGGAACTTCCTATGCTGCAGTTTCCAGCCGTTTCCACTTGTCCTGTCTCCACTCACCAATGAAAAGAGTCCGGCCTCGCCATTCTGATCTGATCGGATCTGATGACCTCCAGAGATGCCTTCCAACCTCAAGTGTTCTCAGCTATCAGCCTTGATCATAGAATCACAGATTTCTATACCAGCAGATGAAGACCATTTTTTTCCAGTGCAGCTACTCCTGGCCTTTTCCCTAGTCAAGGCAGATGAAAGAGACTACCTCCCATTCTAGGAATACAGTGATAGGAATATCATGGGGATAGGAGCCTTTAAGCTGTTCTTCTCCAGAAGTTTTATTGCTTCTTACAAAACTGTGATGAGAATGTATGATGCAAGGTTTGGATGGTCAAACAAAGCGAAAATACAACGCCCCAATTACAATGTCCCCTGGAACCTAGTTCTCTGCTTAAATCCATATTCCTGCTTTGGACTACAAAGACAGTGTTGACCAAAAAAAAAAAAAAAAAAAAAAATCAAATAATCAAATGAATAAAATAAATAAAAATAACAATTATCTTCTTTTCTTGAACCCTTTCTTTAAGGCAAAACTACTTCTGCTTAGATCTGAAAAAAAAAAATAATGTAAAAATAATTAA